ATATAAAACAGATGGGCATGAGTCTACTATAACATTTTCTCGGCAAAATTTGTATATATTCATGTACATTTACAATAGCAGCATTTACAAAACATATAGATGCAACAGAGAAAGCAGCCTGGGTTTCATTTTTTGCTTAGAATGCCCTCTGAATTACATGTCATAGCAACACACACACAGACACACACACACACAGACAAGGAGAAATGTCAACTCTGCAAGTAATGGTATTTATCATTGTATTAAGAAGCGTATTGGGGCCAGGTAACAAGCCCAGAAGAAAATAGTATAGGAGAAGCAACTGGCTACCTTGCAATCCAAGTAAGCAGCAGATTCAAAGATAAAAGAAAGATTCCCTGGGATGCAACGTGACACCCCCAAGCTTGCTTCATTCTGTTCCAGGCCAATAGGTTTTTTAAAAATGTTTTTAATAAAATCAACAACTGTTCTATTTCTAATTGCAAATACGTCAATTACATTATTTACAAATATTTTCCCCAAATGCTTTTTTACAAGTTAAGTTTGATATTACACCCTTTCCCCCTCACCCCCACAATAAACACCACACAAACATTCACTCATACATACCCATACATATGCACAGAAAAAGTAGATATAACCACAGGGGATCTCCAGAGAAAATAGCCCCCTTGCCTGAATGAAGGTGCTTTGTTTTTAAATCCTTTACTTTCAGATACATGACTCTGGGTGGACTCACCTATTTTTACCTCATTATTTCTCTCCAAAAAGGCAAATGGTTCACTAAGATCAAACTCATTTTCTGATTTTAGGTTAGTAAAGATTTTTAGTGCATTGCAAATCCTAAAGGCTGATGCCCATGTGCCTAAATGAACTCAGGTGAGTAAGGGCTACAGTGTACAGTGGTTCAGGCCATAGACTGGAGATCTCTTAAAACACTAAAAAGGGATTCCCCCAACCATCTCAATAAAAAATAATAATGAAATAAAAAAAGAATTCAGACATGTTTTCTGGGTGGAAGGAATGCCATACACATTAGGAGATAGTAGAAAGAAGCTAAACCTAGACACTGGACAGCAAAATCTCAAATGCAGGGCTTCTTCTTATGTATTAATATGACAGTTGATCTGTCTTCTCTGATGAAACAACTAAAGTATGAAAAAATTTTCTCTATCCCAGTCATCTTGCCATCACCATAGTTATTTCACCACTTAACTGTGATTCCACTTAAAGAAAATAATTTAAACCTGGATCTGAATTGATTAATTATTTAGAAAGCTACATCCTTTTTTCTGCATTAAGTGCACTGCAACAAATTCTTCCAAAGCCTATGGTAGTGCCAGGGAACAATATATTATTGAAAAATCAGAGCTGCACACCAAACACTTCTATGTTCTTTCATTTACTGGAAAAAATGATCAAGGTAAGTCAGTTGCAGGCATAAAGAGAGACAAAATGTTATCCCAGAACAATGCATAGGGTTAACCAAGGAAACTGACAAAACATTAAACTCAAATTAAAGAAGAAAAAGGTTCTTCATTAATTCCATCAGTCTTGAGACAGCTTTTGAAAAGAATTAGAAAAGGAGTGGAGGAAGTGTCTTACAGTAACAACTGTCATGGAGAGAGTCATATCTCCGTGCATGTACTATGGGATGGAAACAATTCTGAAATCCCAATGCCATTTGCCAGAAGGATTCATGCAAATAGGGCATTTACTTCTCTATATAGATTGAGGTTGCTTCTTCAAAAATATTGTTGCATTTCACTAGAAGTCAGGAAATACAATTCCACGAACACCCATTGATTTCCTTGAAATCAGTGGGGCATTCCTCAATTTATGTCCCCCCCCCCAAGAATATCAAGCTTGTGATGTTTTTTCACTTCTATAAAGAGTACCAGTTGGATGCAAAAGTATTTTACAATTCTAACAGAAAAGCAAAATGAAATGCAAAGATTATCTTCTATTTGGTCAACAGCTAACTAAATGTATCTCACAAAAACCAAAGCACAAAAACTACTATGGAACCTATGCATTAACAATATGCAAACTGTTTGCAGCACAACAGCTACAGTAGCTATTTTCTGCCCTCTCAGCATCCAACTCACTGTAGAATAGGGCTGTTTTTCATACAAAGCATGTGAATAACGTGAGTTTATTATTTTTCCTTTCCTTCTATCAATATTTTACAGAAATATGTTGGGTTTTTTTTGCTCTCGTCTCACACTTCAGTCAACAAGAAATTGGCATGCACAAGTAACCAAGGCTGGTAATGTTAAGTGCTACAAGGCTAACTTCTTTACAAATACCACACAAAATATTAAACATATTTATGCCAAAGTCAAATAACTGAATGAAAAATCTTTCAACTGTAAAATATATTAAACATGCTTCACCTATAATATAGTGAGATTTGGGGTTGTAGGGACAGGACCAGATTTCTCTGCTTTACAACAATACTAGTTTACATCATTAAGATTTGATGAGATGCTGCACAAGTTAGCATACTATTGAGATTTTGAACTGAGTCAACTGGAGGCATTACTATGAACAGTGTCTTTCTCCAATCAGCCATGGTGTCCTAAAATTTATGGGACTGGAACATCCGTTTTGCAGTATTCATCGGCATACAAATAAGATTTACAAACAATTACAAGTTCTTCTCCACCATATAAAAGCTAGGCAAAAGAATTTGAAATACCAAGTTCTTAAGAGATTGCAACAAGAATGGGCACCCACCATACTGGACTACAGCCTAAGCACCTTTTTTGAAACTGAATTGTAAGGTCCAAAAGAAAGAGATAGATGTATGGCACGAAGTGGTTACAAAAATGTCAGAAGTCAAACTCCACCCTGGTAATAAAATAGAAAATACTGGCCAAGGTTTGAGGGAGCCTCATATTATGTTCTGCCAGGAATTGTTGCTAAAAAAAATCCAAATGAAAGCTCAAAAAGTAACATATTTCATCCTTGTCAGTGGTAATAAGATTGCGAAAAGCCCACTGCCCTTGTTGATCTGGAGCTGTTAAAATAGCTAGTGATTTTGGTCCTATGCACCTTCCAAAAACCTGTTATTTGTCTGCAATGTAATTCTCACTGTTCTTGAGGATATCCAAGCATCCTGTACAAGGCAGTCAGACTGAATATTCAAAAAAGCCTCAAACATACGTATGTGTAGGTAATTGGCACTGTTTCTCCAACCCATCACAAAAAGGAACGTCTTCAGGTACAAAGAGAAACTTGTTGTTCTGTGCCCTGATCCAGCATTCTTTTTTAATAGGTCTGGGAGAGCCAATGTATTATGTAGATAGGCTTCCTCATTCAGTCCCAAAGAGAACACAGCTCTTCATGTACAAAGTGACTAGAAGACTCTCAGACAGGCAAAAGTTTCCCGATGTGCACAAAAAAGAACGGAGCTCTGAGTTTGGATCAGTGTGTTTGTCTCAATAAGAAGCAGCCTGGTTCTGGAGAGTAAACGTTCATTAAAAGAGAGGCCTTAATATTTGATCTGCCAACACTAGGGAGGAAGATGTCAACAGCTGTGCTAGCATATCACCATAAAGTACAGTGCTGAAATAGCACTGCGGGGATATTACACTAATGCCACAGGTAAATTAGGGTTAATGGCAGCCTCTTGTTATATGGAAGTCAGACAAAATTGCTCTCAAACTGTGGGTGCCTTCATTCATCGTGGAAAAATTATCTGAAAGGAGATCCAGCCTTATTACATACACAATGTCTTCTTTACAACCTCAGAGGGCAGGACTAGATCTAATGGGCTTAAGTTATTTTCCACTGAATATCAGGAGAAATTTCCTAATGCTAAAGACAGTTTGCAAATGGAACCAATGACCAGGTAGGATGAGGCTGAAAAGCCACCTGTTGTGAACATCAGCTCCCTATTTTCTGCATCAAGAATAGGACTGAGATAGACAGGGACCTACTAGACTCTCACCAGCTCTGTGATCCAAGGTTAACTTTACCCCTAACAGGTGGGAATACAGTGATGCCTCGCATTACAACGTTAATTCGTTCCAGCGAAATCACTGCAGAATGAAAACGTTGTAATACGAAAATAAAAAGCCCATTGAAACGCACGGAAGCCCCTTCAATGGGCTGGAAACTCACCATCCAGCGAAGATCCTCCACAGGGCGGCCATTTTCGGTGCCTGTGCAGCAAGGAATCCATCCCAGAAAACAGTGGGGAGCCATTTTATTTACCCAGCGGCAATTTTGAAACCGCCGATCAGCTGTTCAAAAATCGTCGTTTTGCGAAGAATCGGTTCCCGATCATCGCAAAGCGAAAAACCCCTATTCAGACCACCGTTTTGCGATCGCAATTGTGATTATTGTAATGCGGTTTCGTTGTACTGCGCGGAAATCGTAAAGCGAGGCACCACTGTATAGCAGATACTGTCTTTCTAATTGCTGAAAATAACAAAATCAATGGAGTTTAAATTTCTTTTTATATTCTCTGAGCTTTTACAAAGGATATTTTCAAAATTGGTGCTACAGTCCTAAGCAGCAAAGATGCTTTTGCAGAGTGTTCAATGCAATTAAAACAATCTTGAACTATTAAGTATTTTCAGCTGATGAAAATACTTATTCATATGCAGACGTAATTACATCTGCATATGAATAAAACATTACTTCAGAAGGGAAATGGCACACACACAGATAAAGCATGCTGATTTCACAATTTCTTCAACGAGGCATTCTCTTCTACGAAAGAGGGAAGAATACCTCTTCTAAGCAGGTGTCTACCAGCCAATGATCTGTAAATCATTTCAACTGCTGGATAGCTCAGTGGCTTAGGTCTCTGGCCGGAGAGACAGAGGTTGGGAGTTCAATTCTCCACTGTGCCTCATTGAGAAGGGCTGGACTCAATGATCCATAGCGTCCCTTCCAGCTCTGCAGCTGAAAGGTTATTGCTTGTTGTAGGTTTGGCCATGTTCTGGAGGTTTTCCTTCTTAACGTTTTGCCAGTCTCTGTGGCCAGCATCTTCAGAGGACAGGAGCTAGAGCAGCCCAAAAAACCTACAACAACCATTGAATCCTGGCCATGAAAGCCTTCTAAAATACGTTACTGTATTTATATAATCAAATAATTGCATAAATCTGTTGCTGAGTGAATTGGTTGCCCCTTTCAGCCCAAATATTTTTATTCACCTAATTTATGTGAACAAAAATATGTGCATGAAATTTTCCCACAAAGATTCCTTGAGCATTCAAAAGGAAAGGAGACAGGGAGAGAAGATTGAAAAAAAGAAGTTTGAAAGCAACGGGGAGCAAAATTATCTTTGGATCATTATGATTTTTCAATAGACAAACAGTGGCAACTGCTTGTTTCTCGTGCAAAGCTGAATTTATGGCTTCTATAAAATGCTGAAGCTTTGACTCCTTTCCCAATTAAATATTCTACAGAATTTGTCAGAATCCTGACAGGAGTTTGTGCATACAAAGCTGCCTACTGGGCGAACATGCTTATTTCATCCCAGTGCAAGTGGTAAAACTGGATACAAGATTCAGAATTCCTCATTTTCATGTGCAAAGATTCTTCTTAAAAGTGAATGGTGAGGAGGGGCTTCTTTCTGCATTCAACATTTCCAAAAGAAATTGCATTATTTGTGGTTAATTACCTATGATCAAGTATCCTAGAGAAAACAAAAAACGTATTTCCTGTGTGTGCCTTTCAAACAACACTATCATTCACTCACACAATGGTGCAAATCCTCTTATCTAGTTATGCTGGCATAGCACACACAACATAACTTTGGAGAAGAACTGCTCCAAGTAAAGAAACAATCATAGTTGCATAAACAGTTGCGTGATTCTGTGTGCAACCAACAACGTCTATAGCGATTTCTTAACTTGGGGCAACTGTTATGCCCTATGGCTATATGGCTAAAAGTTATGCCATATGGCTAGCTAGAGGATTTTGACCAATATATATTTTATTCCCCTTTTTGCTTCTTTAAAACAGAAAACATAAAACAAAACTCAACACATTCCCCTCTACTAAATGTAAATGATGGTTTCAAAAGAGGCTCCAAGTATATATTTCCCACTTCCCACCTCCTTTGGAGGTCAATTTGAATTTTGTGACTTCGATGCAAAGGCAAAATATGGCACAAAAGAATGGATATTAAGTTAAAAAAAATCTTATAAATATTCTGTTGCTGTACAATTTTCACAGCCCTGGCCCACCCATTGTTATTCACATTTTTTTTAAAAGCTCCCACCCCATTTTAGAATCATAAAATATATATTTAAAAATCTTTGTTCATATTTAAAATATATTTACAGGAAAAAGACGCATGCCTTCTGCTGAAATCATGAAGAGTCTGTACAAGGAGATGGGGGAGGGGGATAGAGGTGGAAGTAACTTCGCTCAGTGGCTGGAGAGGGTGGGCAGCTCTCTTCTGCTGACATGTACTGGCTGCGGGGTGTAGGGGGAGGGGGATAAGGATCTGAGTCTGAATTTAGATCTATGTAGTATTTATTGGCTTTCCATCGGCTTGTTGTGTAGTCGCTGTCACAGACGTCAGTGCTGCAAGGTGTCGTCGGTGGAGCTATCCCTCTGATCAGGTATGGCCTGGAAAATAAAGCCAAAATCAGCTACATTTTTCTTTTTCTTTTTTAAAAAGTATACTCAGAGAAAGGACAGAGGCTGGAGAGTTACTATTTCTTTTCAACTATATCAAGAATGAAAACTAATTGGCTGCAATAATTAAGAAGCAGCTATGATGGCAAATAATGAGAATGTAATTTAAGGATGTCAAAAAATAGACCCTTTCTTCTACATCAGCCTGTTTGTCAACTGAGTTAAGCTTCAGAAGCTTTCCCCCCCCCCAAATGTCCCCACTTTCTAAGGCAGGGAGTGCCATAATCAGACAGCCTTCTTAGTAAGTAGTCTGCCACTTGTTGGATGCCCTTTGCAAGAAGACTTGCCTGATGCCATCTTGATGCCAGACCAAGAGGTTGCTGTCTTTGTGTTTAACATTTTTAGTTTTAAACTAAAATTTGAAGTTGCTGCTTACTTTTTCCTTTATTTTTGGGCCAATATTCCTATTTGCATTTTGCTTTATTTTCTTTGCAAAACTGCCTCGGAAGCATGACCAAAGGGTAGTAATTAATTCTTAAACCACTAAGTTATTTAATGGCAAAATAAACCTAGTGATGACTACGATGTATACACATACATATGTACGCACCTACGTATCAGTGTACGTATGCTGTAGTCCAAACAGGGGAAGGTATTGTCCCAGACCTTCCTGCTTGGACCAAAAGGTAGTGGTGCATATGTACCTACATGTACGAGTGGTGCTGCAATGGAACTAAAGCCAGACTCAGTGTTAGCAACTTCTGCCAGCACTTAGTGAAAGCTGCTCACTCTATAAAAGGGGCAGGCAAGGGCCCAGAGGCCACTTTTCCAGATCAAGGATCTTCTAGGTACTGTACCAGTTCCTCCTAAGAAAAGTATTTTCTATATAATGACAAAGAATTGTTGTGATTTTTATTCCATAGACCTCAAATTATTTGTGTGCCATCTAATATCAACATCAAAAAGCATCTATACTGTAAGATGTGTTTACAAATAACACATCTGTTTTCACCAAAAAGTGTGTGTGTGAAAACTATGAATCTGGGCATTTAGCAGGGAAACCACACAGACAGACACACACACACACACAGAGAGAGAGAGAGAGAGAGAGAGAAGGATGAGCATGTACAGAGAAATTAGGCGTACTAGGACAGGACTATGAATAAGACATCATTTGGTGGAACACTGGAATCTAGTAGAAGAGGGAAGAAGGTAATCGTCTTTTCCCACTATTGCAGCTATCAATGCACTGCAAAAATACTCCTCCAGAGATCTCAGGAACCTTTCCCCAAGCTAGTTTACATGAAGGTCTGAGGGATGTTACAGGGAGGGGAAGGAAAGAACAATGTCTGTCGTACAAGCACTACAACATCAGCATGATGTTGGATTCAGTATTCAATATATCTGGGAGAAGTCCTTTACCCCAATTTCTGAAGTTTTACTCTTTGGACAAACCAACACTGTGCCGTATGACACTGACAAACAGGACTGTTGCATTATGAGAAGAAGAAATCAACATTTTAAAATATTACCAAAAGTCACTCAAATACATTTAAAAAACAGATTGGAAAACAGTTTTTAACTGGGGAAACTCACTGGTATCAACAATTCATGAAGGACTTAGAACTTTTTTTACCTGTATGATCTTGTTGTTGAAGGAATGTTTGAGGAATAGAACATTTCTGTGTTGTAGAGGGAGCGATCCGTGGCAGGAGAAGGTGGTGGATTCAGAATCTGTAGAATAAAGAGAAATAGCTTCATATATAACATCTTTTTTCACTATTAAGCCAAGTGCCATCACAGAGCTTACTCTGGCCTTCTGAATAGCAAGCGAGAGGCAGAGCCTGAAAATATTACTGTTTGAAATTACTGTATTACTTCTAGAAGTACTCAGCCAGCTCAGCCAGGTTCCAGGAGTTGTTGTCCAAAACAGTAGCATTTCCAAGCTGAGGAGAGATAGCGGTCACACAAATACCATTGAACAAAATGGCCTTTTCCTTAAGACAATCACCAGAGAGCCAGGGCCATGTCAGTTCATCTAAAAGCTTTATCATGAATGGCTTAACACCGTCATCTATTTTGCCATGTTCTGTTTTGATGTGATTACATGAAGCTGCCTTGTACCAGCAACTCATTGGTCCAACTCTGCTGAATTCTGTGGACCCTGATTGGTTGCAGCTCTCCAAGATTAGGCAGAGTCTTCCCTAGCACCACCCTAGTACCCTAGCACAGCATGCCACATGTTAATAATCAGAAAAGGTATGCAGTGAAATTTGGCTTTTTTACCCTAGAGAGCAGATGTTCTTGAACTTGACCAACCCTAGTGAACTATCCTTGAGGTAACTGGTTACATTTTGGACTTTTTCATAGATTACTAGAGATTTTAACAGCTGTATATTCCTTTAAAAAAATTAGGAGGAGGAGGAGGAATACTTGGTAAAGAAATTTAAAGATAAAACTTCTTGTCTCCTTTTCACTTTTGATTGGTCTTAACACGATAGGTTTTTAGTGACAAATTTTGATTTAAACACATCTAAGTTTTATTTTCTCCAAACCCTACATCTCTTTTTTTAAAGGGGGGGCATTTATTCTCTTCTTTAGCTAATCAGTTTGCCCGGATGGTATATAACTTGAAATGTTAAATTCTCTTTTCTTTAGGAAACTGAAAATCTTTCTTACTTTTTTTTACAAATGATGCAACTTTGGGCTACTTTATGTTGCTCTTCTTTAAGATTAATATCCTTAAAAAGTGGTCTGTAATTACTGCTTTACATATATTTTAAAAGCAGAAAGAACAGCAATTGTCACCCATTTTCTATTGTTTCTGATCTGCAACAATATGTAAAAAAATACACATCAGTATGACATAAGTAAGGTCAGAAAGGCAAGTAGTGAATGAAGAACCAGTCTCCAAAATCTAGGTTGACAAGAGCACAACTGAATGGTCAGGGTACAAAGGAACAATTCCCACTACACAGGATTCCAAAACACGTCACAGAATAAAATGCCTATATTGGACCAGTCAGTATTAATTCTGCTCTTGTACAGTTGTCTCCATGCATCCTGCTTTCTTTACCGCAGTGATTACTTTTTATTTATGGAAAAATATTTCAGGGAATTTTCATTGCTTCGTGAAGACAAAATCAAGGTAAATAAACAGTCAGCAAAATGTTTAACTTTTGAGGCTCCCCATCATCTCTGGCCAGAGATGTTTTCTCACTTTGGTTTACACTTATGGGACTACAGAGTACCAAGTGTCTCAGCAGGTCAGCAACATCAAAAATTGTACAAAGAACTTCATGATTACATATTGGGGGAAGGGGGGGAAAAGAGAGGCAAGAATGCAAACACTCAGAGGAATGCTCTCAAAGGTCATCCTCTTAACAAAAACAAGTGCTGCACAACTGAACACTGTTTACGTACTAGAAGTCTCACTGATTATTTTAACCTCTTTGGGTTGCTTTGAAGACAGAAGGTGCATTACTGTTCTATGAACTGAATAACAGAAGGCCCAGCGCCTTCGCAAACTAAAAAGCTGCAACTTCCACGGACAATCTTGACTGGCTCCTCTTTAGGAACATGTGATTATTCTTGAGCATAAATGGAATGACGGAAGGAATATGACCTCCAGTAGTTTCAAAACTTACCTGTGGATAGAAAGTAGCTTTTGTACTGGATGAACTACTAGAAGAGGCTCCTGTTACGTGGTTTCTGTCATAAAGAGGTGCTCCACTACTTCCTCCCATCAGGCTCATGGAGCTAATCATTGATTTTCCACAAGAGATGCCTATATGGGTATAAAAACGAGACTGGCTTGAAGACAGAGTCATCCACAACTGAAACACATGTCAAAATCAACCAGAACAATGACTGTGGGCATGAACCTTCACGAGGTGTGCAAATTGTTCTCATTTTACTTAGAGCTGCTGTTCAGTTTCTGTATAAAAGTTAAGGTTGAAAGCTCACACACTTAAGCTTGACAGAGAAGAATTCCTTATTGATGGAACGTCTATCCATTTCTGAATATCAAAACTTAAGGGGAAGTTTTTACTGAATGTTATACAGAGTCTGTGATCAGAATTTTCACCTGAGTCCAGATCCCAGAAATTTCCCAGATCAAACAGCTGCCATTCCTTCTCTTTCAGAACATATTAGAACATTATACTGTCATGGACTACGAATAATAGTGACAGTAATTGTATAATATTATCGAGCTGATTACCTGACATGTGAAGTTAATTTAAAAAAAAAAACTAAGGAAGTGGTTCCCAACTTTGAGTCCCCAGATATTCTGGGACTGCGACTGCCAGAAGCCCGTGCCAGCCCAGAAAGTCAAGCTTGAGAACCACTGCCCTAAAGAATAAAATACTAATAATTAGATACAGTAAAATTAATTATTAATCTTACCCGTAAAAGTCCCATGCTGAGAACTCCCTGGGGCAATAAAATTTAAGGGGACATGAGGCGTACCACTGACATACTCATGTGGAAAAGGTCCATTGGGCCCAGCATAACGCTGACATACGACTCGCTGGCAAACGAAATACATTCCTCCCAAGATAAAAAGGGAAAGGATGATGCCAATGACAGGCCAAATAGCACTGCTGTGAGGCTGGGTCTCATCCGAAGATGATTCAATTTTTGCTGCGGAAAATAAAAATAAAAATGAACTAAAATTAATTTGATTTATAAAAACATGATGCACTTAATTCCATAAAAGAAGACAGATTACGTGTATTTTTAGATTTGTTTCTCCCCCACATCATCTTCATTTGAAGGACCATATAATACATCATAAGAGCAGATACACTGGCTTAGAACATTCCTTCTGCCATGTACCTCCAATTATTAGCAGCATCAACTAGCTACTCTGCCTGAAGGCAGTCATAAATATGTGCACCCAGAGCCACTTTTCTATTTATGTGTGACATCATTACAGTTCAACCACCATCTTTGAGAGTATTTGTGTTTCCTTCTGATATTATTCCTTTCACAGCCCTTAAAAAACTGCTGCTTTCAAATAAGACACCAAGCTCTCAATTTACACCCATAATTAACAAAAAGAGTGGGTGCAATTTAAAATTATTTTAAATCAAAGGTATTTTTAACATCTGTAAGCATGCAAGTAGAACAGCAGCTTGTAAAGCCTGAACAGAGATGGTGGGAAAGGACGAGGCAGAAAATGAGAAAGGAAGGCATCAGAAGCCAATTTGTGATGAAGACTAATAAGTGACAGAAGCCAACATATTTTCTCTCCTTCTCCTTCCCCCACACAGACCTTTTCTTCTCACATTCTCTCTAGAAAGGCTGTGCTGAATATTGTGAATTAGAACCTTTCCTGCTCAAATGGTTTTTAAAGATGCATTCCCACAGTCTGTTCTCTGCCATTCTTCTGCATGCCTTTACCTTCTCTACTGAACCATTCCTCAGATTTATGCATAACTGTAGTTTTCACAGAAGGAGCCATGTTAGTTTGTGCAAGCATATCCAGCGGAACACGACAATTCAAAACAAAACAAAGTGCAAAATAAAAGACAAAAGGTGCCATAATGTTTTTGCCTTTTTTGTTTTGTTTTTGCTAGACAAACATGAGTGAGTGAAACAGGATTTTGTACCTTATTTTTTTTTTTTTTACCAGGCAAAGATGGTAAAGAAGAAGGATGCAACATGCTTGCTTGGTTGTACCAACTCTCCTGGCAAAAGAAATATCCTTGCACTTTCACAATATCTATGCCTGTCATCAGCACCTGCCACCTCTGAGAAGTTGATACAATCCCCGGTATTGACACCAAGTCTTGAATTTCATGTCACATAGGAAGCAGCTACAAACCACCATTTTAGATTTCCCACAGTGCCTAATACAGTATCACTTTGGGATACTGTGGAAAAAATTAAATGTTAGATTCCTGCATATTTGCTGGTGAGGAGGAGAACCTACTTGGGAGGGCGTCCATGGTGGATATACAGCCAAAAGTCTGAAAACATCACTCCAAATCACCCAAACTCCAAGGCATGTTAAAACACAAAATCCATGTCTGTTCTGTTAACTACTTGTGTATTTCTTTCCAATGTATGAAGTGCCTTAGAATTCTTAGCTCATTTTATTATCACACGGCATGACTGTAACTGGCTCATGGTCATCGGGTGAATTTTATAGCTGAGAAGAAATCTGAATCTGAAGAATCTGGTCCAGAGGAATCCACCCTTTTCCAACTTGGTGCCTTCCAGCTGTGTTGAACTAAACCTCTCGATATCCCTGGCCAGCACACAGGCAATTATGGAAACACTAGTTCAAGAAAGTGGGAATGTACTGGGCTGGGAAAGGAACTGCAGCATTCCCATATGTGCTCCCTCTTGCATATAATAGTTCTTGCTATCATTCATAGCTACAAACTACAGTGATTTAAATAGATAACTGCCTCTTCAATTCTCCTTATTCAATTCCCATGTTAAGCATTTATCTGCCATCTCTATGTTTTTCCCCCTTGCACAGGTCTTAGGGTGGAGAGAACAGAATTACTATCAGTCCATCTATATTCCAAAAGCCTCTCAAAACATTTATGGTTAATACAAACTGTGAAGGAACAGAAGCCAAGTTGAGCAGCCACCAAAGGCCCAGACAAAAATAATTGCCTCCGCTTTGGCAACTGTTTTTGGGCTGTATTTTACTGCAGGGTTGATTATAGCTCTTTAGGTCCCTGATAGGACACGGATGCTTTATAAAAAGAAAAGCAGGGGAGGGCTCCTAATTTATTAGCCTTGTAGAAAAGGGTTAAAGTACATTGCACATTAAATATGTGTACACTCACAAATATATCAATATTTAAACTCTCAGGGCCCACATAGTAATAAGAAGTAGATTTGCCTTTCATAATTCAAGTCAATCTCTCACAAACATTCAGAACCTTAGCTCTGGCAGTTGGATCTAGGCAAAATGCAAAATGAATTGTCTTACCACATGCAAGTTCATCAGAGCCATCAATGCAATCTGGAAAGGAGTCACATTGCTGTTTTATGAGGACACACTGGCCATTGTCACATCGAATCTGATTTGGGAGGCAAATTGCTGCAAGGGAAGGAACAGTGAAGCAACCCTGTTATCATTCTGGATCAAATCAGATGATGAATAGTCTATTACCATGAAGCTAGACTTAATAAACAAAACAAAAATGAAGCATATATAGTTTGCTTCACCTGTGTAGAAACCAAGCATATGTTTCACTGTCAGCAATACACAGAGTTCATAAATTGTGCAGGACTGGCATGTAAGGCCAGTAAAATGGGTAAACAATGAAATACTAACCAGCCACAACTCCTTCTGCTACGATACTCTGTCCAACAGAGGAGACAGAAATACCACTATGACAAAACAAACAAACAAACAAACAAACGCAGAAATACCACTATGACAAGAAAACAAAACAAACACCAACACCACCCCTATAAAAAACTCTGAGGGTCACTCTAAACCACTAGGACAGGCAAGTATGACTTCAGAGCTATTTCTCTTGCGTTTCTCTTGCCTGACACAGCAATAGTAGCTCATGACATAAGTCATGCAAACAAATTAAGGGGGTAGCTCTTACTTTCACAATCCACTTCATCAGATTTATCCTGGCAATCGATTTCTCCATTGCACCTCAAGTGTCTATCAATGCACTTCCCTTTCTCACACTGAAACTGGGTGGCTGAGCAGATTGGGCAGTTATCCTCATCACTTTGGTCATCACATTCAGAGAATCCGTCACACCGCCAGGCCATAGGTATGCAGTCTATCTCCCCAGTTGCACATGTAAACTGATCTGGCGAACATGTTGGGGGCTCTGCAGAAGATAATTCAAAAAGAAACACACCCTCATTTTAAAGTCTTCCAAGAGCTAAACAATTTCAACAAGGAAAACATTAAATGCAAAACATAATCCCAACCCAACTAAAACAAGATTTCTCCTATTACTAGATTGTGTAACATTATCAAGTTCCTTATCAGGAAACAAACAAAAAACCCAACAAAATCACTCTCTGCCCAAATAGGAGCCTTTTGCCAACTCTACAAACTGGTGTGTAGTGCAGTAAAACTGTGCCCTCAGCAGCCCTCCTTCCCTCCTCAATCCACCAGCCTTCTCGCCCCCCCCTTCCTGAAGGGGGCACCAGGACCCAGGTGCGAGGCTAGGCAGTGCCAGGCTGTGTGAAGGGCGGGCTCTGTCAACACAATGTCGGGAGGGTGGGGAACGTGTGCCACTTGACAGGACAGACAATGCCAGGAGGGTGGGGAACGTGTGCCACTTGACAGGAGGGAGGGAAAAGTCATCGTCGTCAGCACCGGTGGCGGGCAAAATAGGGTGAGTGGAGGCAAAGGGGCTCTCTAGGAATCCACTCCCCACCACCCTCGCAATGGTGGCACTGGGCAGAAATGGAGAGCATGTCTCTCAGCGGGGGCGACTGGGGGGAGATGAGCAGGCTCAAAGCCATCGCAATGGTGGCACTGGGCAGGAATGGAGAGCATGTCTTTCAGCTGGGAGCAAGCTCAAAGCCACGTCTAGAGCCATGGGGAGGAGGGGAGGGGAAGAAGCCTGAAGGTCCCCATTCCGCCCTCATGGTCCATGTCTTTTATATTTCTTGTTGCTCCCTTTTTCTCCTTCCAAGCCTTGGTGAAAGTTTACGTGATGTCCAAGCCGAGGAGGGAGTTGGGAATTATTCTCATGACGCTTAATTCCCTTCTCGCCTTTACATCTATGGGTCTTCCTCTTCACCCCATTCTTCCCGGTGGACTTTGAACCTCATCTCCTCCTCCTCCCGGTTCTTCTTCCAGCATCTCCCGCTTGCCTTGACATTCCCCTCCATTTATCATCTAAACACCCATGCTCATTCGGCTTGCCTTCCTTCCTTCTGAAGGTGCCATGAATTTGTAGTTTTCCCTATAGAATTACAGCAAACTCCCCCCCCCCGCATGTGCTACTCATCCTCCTGCCCTTTCTTGTCACCCTACATTGTCTTTTCTTTCCCTAAGGGCATGCTTTCAGACTGTTTGCCAGTTTGGAAAGAGCAACAAAAGCCATTTATCATCCTTCAACTGCATCTGTTCAGCCCTTCTCTGGGAACTGGGGTGTCTTAACATCTGCCCTAAATAGCTTCTTCCCCCACTTTTGTTTGCTTATTTCTTCAGTACCAAAATTAAAATCAACGGGGTGGTTTTGCTGTTCTCTTTGGCTTGAACTAAAGTGCCTCCGCTGGTGCCTCCAGCTCTGGAACCGGCACCAGCAGCTGCTCACTGGGGCGGCCACGTCGGTCCTCATCACTCCTCACCATTTGAACTTCCCACTGTGGAGGGCTGGGAGGAGAGCCGCCCCAGACTTGTTGGAGCCCATTGGGAGGTGAGCAGTCGGAGGGAACACCCCAGCCATGCTCAGACTCCCAGGCTTCCACCGCCACGCACTCCCTCACCCCTTCAAGTATGTGCCCGTGTGCAGGGGTGGGGTGGGCGCACGGTGGGCAGGCGTGGGGTGGGGGAACGTGTGTGCACACCACCTCCCTCTCAGAGGCTCAGCCCGTCTGCAGTATGAAAAAGGTTGAGGACTTCTGCAATACAGCAGTATGATGAATGGATCAGTCACTGCCAATATCTTACAAGCAGAGAAGCATGAGGCAATAAACTTTCTCCTCGGCAGAAGTGATATGGAAATTCCAGTACCACAGAATATGCTGCGGTCTTGAGACAGAAACTGTTTATAAGGGAAATTACTGTCCCTGGGGAGCTGATTGTCCAAAATATGTACCATTTAAGTATTTCCAAAACAGAAAAAAAAGAAACAATAAACTAAAATATTGTGACAGGATTTCTGCCTTAAATAATGTGATGCTTTAATTCTCAAAACAACAACAACAACAACAACAAAAACCAACTACAAACTTTTAAAAAATGTTCTGAATGGTAGAAGTAAAGCATGCATGTGCTAGAGTAAGAACACTGTCATGGGCAAAGCTCCTACACTGCAACAAGGTAATAATGTAACATACAGTGCTTTAATACTAAGTTACAGAATAACTGATCCTATAAACAAGATATATCTAAAACAACAACACTTTTCAGTAAGATAGACATGAACAAATGGGAAAGGAAAGAGTCAAATCTGGTTTTTCCCCCTTGCTCATTTCCCAATCTACTTCGCTCACATGCTGAGCCTTAAAAAAAAAAATCAAATTTATCAGACAACAGTATTGTCATTATGTTTCCTCTTGGCGTGTCCTTGTATCAATCAATAAAGTACCATGAAAACAGTCTCAAGTACAGATGTTTGAGATCTACCATATTTCAGACATATTTATCAAGTAACTGCAATATATTCTTCAGCACTTTCTCTGATACTGAATAACCCCAGCTAGTTTCAGTTTAATAGGTAAGGGAGGACATGGCAGGTTATCTGAAAGTCTGTATTTTGGTTGCACTTGGGATGCAAACACTGCCTGTCAAAAGGAAACTGCCTGCATGAGTTGGTCTCGCAACCTACAGCCATCTAATCCAAGGAAGCTTGCCTCCTGTAGCCTAAAACAATTGTGAACTTCTACTGAAACCACACATGGAAAGACTCCATTTAGATCACCTACCTCCACATGTTAAGAGATTCTGCAGAAGTACCAGGTGAACTGGGCATGAGCACCGTGGGGTCCCATCTCCTTTTGCAATACATATATGTGAACATCCACCATTATCCCGGGAACAAGGATGGGCAGCTTTGTAAACAAAATTAAAAAAAGAAGACAATGACAGCATTTTTACAACTCAATGGAGAAAGCCCTATATTCGAAAATATCAGAGCCTGGCCATGGTCTCCCATGAGAAATCCTCAAATTTAAGTGTTTTTTTTCCTAGTTCCTTCATAGCTTCCTTCCCAAATAGTCTCTTTTTGGACTGACAATTGAACTAAACTACAAAAAGCCCAGTATCCTGCAGCTGGTCTCAATAAGAGAGTAGATTGATTGAATCAAACACTGGGCTCAATATTACTTGTGATCAAAAGGCAAATGGATTTATGGGCAGCAGGAAGCATGGGGGGAATTTTAGCGAAGGGAAAAAATAAACAACAAATGAAATAGTTATGTTCTTGCTCTCCACCATCTCATTCAGGTCTGAAACCAAGAACAATATGTGTTTCACTATACTTTTGCTCTGTTCTCTGTCTCTGCTTTTAAACAGCCAACATTAAATACACAGGCTCATGACGTCATTGCACAGAATGATCACTGAATTGTAGGGAGGAAAAATAAAGAACAGTCTCAGCTTCCCCAGAAGTATTCTTCTGCTTTAAAGAGTAAACCTATGATTTTCAGTGCTGAAAGATCATTATTTTTAAGTGTGAATAAAGCACAAAAAGCTTGCCATAAAAATCCATCCTTGAATTTTACAAAAAAAGTATATGATCTAAAAAGGCTGCAATAATTTTATTAGCTTTTCTTTCTAAGATAAAACACTGATTCATAGAATAATTATCACTTCTGTGCAGGTTGTCACCAAATAAGTGTCTCTTCCCTCCATGACTTCTGTTACATCATGAAGGTCTAAAATATACAGGATTATGGAGGAGATTTGTGAATGAAACTACCAAATACTGCCAACATGGGAATTGATAGTTCCCAACATACTTCGGATTGGTAGTTCCCTGGGCCCCATAGACCCAGGGAAATTTCATATATTAGCAAACTGGAACTAGAAACTTTGCAGTACATGCTATGGGAGTTCTCTCATTCATACCTCCAGCTATCTTATTATAGGATACTTTTAGCATCCACAGGCAATGCAGATATTTGATGGAGGTGAGGGGAAAAAATCATTCTTCTGTGGAAATGTTGTGATTTATAACTCTAAAGGATCCAGGTCAAAGTGAGAAAGGCAAAGTTTTACAGAGTATAAAAATAAATAAATGATACAGTATAAGGAAGTGATATACAGAGGTGAATAAGGAAGTTAATGAAAGCTTTCCTTTCCTTACAGAACCCAAGCTAAAAAACACTGTCCAACATGGGTCTGAAGCTTTTGGACAAACTCCACTTCAGTCCTGACCATTCAGGACCATCATCATCTTGTACAAAGAGAAAACATCTTAATATGGCCATGCATCCACTTTGGAGGAAGCCCAAAATTCTGAGGCTACGTATCCTGCTTGATTCAGTCTGCCTCTGAAGCAAGAAGATAATGATTGAAAGTCATCAGAATTGAAGTGGACTTATCCCAAATGTTCATACCCACCTTTAGAGGGAGATCATGTTCAAGCTTAAACCTGATACATTTTTGAAAACTATCCCAAACTCTCTATAAAAGGAAAACACCAGATGGACGTGTAGTTTTGCAACTCAAAAGTTCCAGGTTCCTTATCAGAGAAGGGATTTTCCCTTCCCTGACTTCTGAAACAACATATCAGAAGCTGTTCAGTGTTTTCCATAGCTCTTTGCAAACAGGCTCTCCCTTAAGAGCCAGAATACTGAAAGAGCTTGGAGTCTTTTACAAGGATGCCTTCTTCTTGTTCCAATATAGACCAACACTCTCTAGAAGTCACATCCCTTGGATGCTTTTTCAAAATTTAGAATTGCTATCATCTGTCTCTATCTTGAACTTTAGTCATCAAGTCCCTTTTCTTCATTCATCATTGCAGCCTCTTCCAACTCTATCAGCATCTAGTTTAGTTTCAATGTCATCTGTCACTCTGCATGTGTCCACAACTGGAAAGAATAAGAAAACAGATCTGCCTGTCTCTATGGTCTTTGTTGTACACATTGTGGGCTAATGAATGACAGAAGCCAACAACATCTGAAGGGCCACATATTCCCCACCACTTATTTACAGATTGAATGTCCAAACCATTTTTTAGCTATAGGGATTCCAAAAACTTACCACACAAACACATCAAATCTAGCCTGGAAAACAAACCCTACTTAAAGGTCCCTGAGGGAGTGTTTCCATTCTGGTAGCTTATGAAATTCCAATGAACCTCCAGTAACCTAGTTGTGAATATTGCTCACTACACTCCCTTTACTTCTACTAAGCAGTGACTACCATTTATTGGCTAATAAATATTTACTTACACACTATACAATGAAATTATCCACGGTAGAAATGTGTCATGTTTATCCAACAATAGCTTTCATAGGCACATCCATAAGTGCATCTTAAAATGGCTGGTGTCACAATATTATGGCTCCCCCAGAGAAATCATCAAGTGAGGACAAGCCAGAACCCCTATAACTTGAGCCTGGGGAAAAACTGCCAGTTCCCTGGGCCCTCAGGAGATCAGGAACCTGAGTTTGTAGCAGATGGTGGCTCAGGAGCTCAACCAGAGATTGAGGCACCCACAGGTATGACATAGGAAGAAGGCGCAAACTCAGTCCATGATCACAGAAGACATGTGTGGCTGAAGGAAGGATGCCTCAGGAAAAAGAACATGCTCCTGGAGAAATCAGCAAGCTCAACTCTACAGCTCTGTGAGGCCCTAGCCCCGACTACAAAACTTCAGTGGAAAATTGTCACTGGAGACATCTTTTTAAATCCCTGTTCTCTGTATCAAGATCCCTGTTGCTAACTCTTGAACCACGTTTAATCTTTGGACTGAGTGACTAAACTCTTGGACATTCACCATTGGATGTGAAGGTAGACACCAGCCTGGTTTGTGGTGTGATATCTCCTGGTTTGTCTACCTATCTGGTGAGACTCTGGTTACCTGACCTCGACATTGTTTTGGCTTTGATTTGCAACTTCACTGACATAATATCACAAGTGGTCTAAACAGTACCTCCACGTCTAGTCTATCACCAAGTAGGAGACGTACTAGAACATACTGGCAATATGTTCACGCTCAAGTTATATATTGCTGAAGGTGACCATATGAACTTACTCAGTCATCTGAGAATAAGGAATGCCACATGTACTGAATCCAAAGTGTAACAAAATAAAACACCAGAAAAATCTTGAGTAAACAGTACTGTATTAAACTTACAGAATTCCGCCATGTCGATTTCTTCAACTGCATGAATGCCTGTTAAGTGAGCAATTCGGCCTTGAATTCTGGTCCTCTTGTACCCATTGGTCTTCTCAACTCTTTCTATCATCTGTTGCTGTCGGTCAATCCAATACAGGTGATTTCCCAGCACTGTCAAACCCATTGGTTGAAGAATATTGGAGTCTTGTAATGTAACACGGTTAGCTCCTGACAGTAAAAATGCAAACTTTGTGATTACATACATACTTTTTCCAATTTATTTTAAAATTACATTGTCAAGTGCTACACTTCCATGGATTACAATGAGAACACCACATTATATGGATTTAAATATTAGTTTATAAAGTAAAGTAATTTAAGTTCTGATGTATAAATGATGTCACAGATACGCCACATATATAGTGGCACAACAAAACCATAAAAAGAGCTGCTTTGGATGAGGCAACAAGCATCTGTAGTCTAACATTCTGTTCCTAAAGTAGCCAACCAGATTCTGATGGGAGAAGGCTCACAGGTAGAACATAAAGGCAACAATATCCTCTTCCTTATAGCCCCTGTAACTGGTATTCAGATGCATGTTGCCTCTGATTTTGGAGGCAAATTATACAACTGTTATTACTAGAAGTTAGGGACAGTCTCATCCTCTACACAGGAGAACACATAGCTGACTGTATGCACCTTTACCTCTCTTGTTTTCCTTTGTTTAATTATTTCTAGTCCCCAGAAAGAGTGGGAAATGTCCTAGCCTCATATGCTGTTGCTTACTAGTGAGCAGAGCAAAGGCAGAAGACAGAATATGTTGCATGCATGCACATTTGTAGAAACCTTTGAACATGTCATTGCAAAGGCATTGCAAAAAGACTTTGAACAATACTTATTTCCATAGCTTGTTTACAGTCAAATGGAATACATCAGAAAAGCCACACCCCAATAATTTCTGACAATATGGATAAAAGAGCCCCAGAGTTTCATCAGTTTTTGAGAGCTGGTTGAAAATGGCTTCCAACGACTGTAATAATTTTCAGAGGGTGTCAGGTGTATATTAACAAACTTTCATCACAGGGTTCCAATTTATTTCGGGGGGGGGTGGGAACCCTCTGCCACTGGTTCATGGCAGTGAAACCATGAATACATACTCCCATTTGGCAGCAAATGGAAATGCTACCAGGCAGCTTTAGCTGCAGCCTCTTCCACGGCTTGAAGGAAGCTTCTCTCTCTCTCTCTCTCTCTCTCTCTCTCTCTCTGTGTGTGTGTGTGTGTTTTGGTTTGTTTATTTAAAGAAGAGGATGTTGAAAAGAGGCAAAACACTATACAACTTCCTGTTGAAAATAGTAAGCCAAGCAAAATTAACACATTTTCAGCCATTCTGAAAACTGTCAACAGTATCCATTCCTCAAAGGGCACAAATGGTCCTACAAAAGTATGTTTGCATATTCATGGTGGTGGTGGGAAGTAATTTGGCACTTGCAGATATAAGATACGTGTGTTCCATATTATATTATTTACTGGTACTATGTGTCAGTACTTCTAAAATGTGGGAACAGTATATGTCAACTCTACTTTTTCTGCTCTGATTTTATTTTAATGATGACAGAATAAAATGACACGGTGGGTACAGAGTGAAAAATGCTAATAAGCAATCTACTGCTCAAAATTACTTGAGCTCAGCCAGCCGTACAAACAAATATTTCCCCCCTTGCTGCTGCTGCTACTAAATTGATTCAGAAGTTTACAGCTTCCAAAGGCTCTTACTATGCTATCCACCTCAAAAGAAAAACTGTGTGGCTTACAGATTATATTAAGGGGAGGAATATATTTGAAGGCTAGGAATTTTCAGGAAAACTCTAAGTGTCCCAGCACCATCTGGCTGGATGAAAGATAAGACAAGGCACTCAGTCTTGCTGATGGGGAAAGAGTTACTTCAGGTGCAGTCATGGACTAGCCATAAGTAACTGCATTTATTCCATTCTGTTTTTCAAAAGCTTCTCAAGATTTTTTTTTAAAAAATTGCTAAATGGCAATGAAACCTGCTGTTGAAGGAAGTCATCCCTCCCCACAGACTTCACAAATAATACTGATCACAACATCAAAAGTAAATTCAGGGTAGGCAGAAATAAGATGGAATCTTCCTGACTAGGTGTAAAGTCAACACAGAGTCAGTATTTAACATGCCAGATCAGGGACAGAACCAAGATGGAATCTTGTGCATCTGAGTAGAACTAGCAAGCTACCTAGCAAGTTATGAGAAACCCTTGGTATAATTTATTTATGTATTTATTTATTAAATTTATACCCCGCCCCTCTAGACCATGTCTACTCGGGGCGGCTAATGTAGAATCTATTGGATTTTTCTTGCTTCTATTGAATGATTTTACAGGATAGAACAATAAAATCTTGGCTGGCTAATAACCTTTTGTAAAAAGCTGAGGGAAAGAAGCACTGAGACCAGGAGAGGTGACTTGAGGTGGGAGACACATCTTTTATACAACAACATAGATTCCAAACCACTACCCTTTAATTTAAGAAATCACCATACATTAATCTTTGCATTAATCAACAGTTTTAATGTAATATTTTAAACCGTATTATAATCTTGTCTGTGTTGATTGCATGAGATACTGTGTCCTTTTTGAAGCATGAAGTGTTGATTTATGAACAGAAAAGTAGCACTCTTGAGTTGCACCGAAAGGAGCACAGGGAAAGCAAAAGCAAAAGAGTCACGATACAGTATATCATGCATATTCCCTGTTTGATGAACGCAAGAGTTTCCTTTTATCCCAACCTCCTTTCTTCTTTTCCTTTGACTGAGAGGGTTTATTTTAGTCATCATCAAATAAATGTGTTTTTCTGCAGGAAATCACATCTTGCCACAGTTAACATCCAAACAATATCACATATATAACTAAATCTTCATCAGGATCTGTTTTGGCAGAAGAGGTGTTATAGACTTTGTCCAGTACAACTTTCACTTCATTTTTATATTATATTAGCAAATTCAGTCTGCCTTTCGTGAATCAAGATATGTTTTTCCGAATGCAAGTGAAAGCTGCTTTGAGCCCCTTCAGATGCTCAAAGCAGGCTTTGAAAAACATGGATTCTAAACATGACAAAGGCATGTTTAGAATCAGATACATAGGTATTAAATACACAGATGTTACTAGCAATTGGGGGAGGGAAATTAGTTGAAGGAAAATTTTGGATTATCCAATAGTGTGTTAGTAAGTCTTACTGAACCTAGAAGACTAACACATTTACTGTTAGGAAATTTCATGAATTAAAATCCTCTAGTATCCAAACACATGGTACTACAGGCCTCTTTACTATTTTTGGTAAAAGAGACTTACATGGCAACTCTTCAGGAAATTATTGTTCATTTGCGAGTAAACACTGAGTTTCTGAGAACAAGATCAGAAATAGTACTAAGAAAATAATATGTAAATAGCACTAATAGCTTTAGGACTTCACAGCTATTAAAAGAAAACCTGGGTCCTAATTTACAAAATTATGATAAATCAGTATCTTAAGTATAATGATTTTGTCTCTCATGATTTTTGCAATTTGCTAGAAAGTTCAGTGGGTGGGAAAAGAAAAAAAATCTTGAGACATTTTGCAAAAATGTACACAACGTAAACAGAACACACCTGATAAATCACAGCTTTCAATTCGCTTAAGATCAGCATCCACCCAAAAGAGTTTCCCAAGCTTATTGTCAATCACTAGGGCAACAGGACGGAGTAAGCCAGTAGTGAAAAGCACCTCGCGTTCTGTCCCATCCAAAGCAGCACGTTCTATCTTTGGGGCTCGTTCTTGCATATTGGTGAAATACATATATCTGGTAACAAACACAAAACAATCACTGGCTCAGTCAACAGTTTTGGGAAATGATGTTAACATCCCTAATGTTCTCCTTCTGAACTGTGGCTGTTCCCAAGCAGGACTTTATGGCTCAGCTTTCCAAAGACTGAACAGCCAATAATATCTTGCACCTTGGAGATCCTCTAGGAAGGGGAATTCTACAATTAGTATGTTTGCTGACAAATTAAAATAAATACGCAAGTAAATATAGGATATGGAAGAAGCACTCCTCATGGCCTCCAGAGCCAGGATCTCTGCGAACATGCATCAGGTGACAGGATAGCCCAGTCAAATTAGGTCTTCAGTCTGAATAACTTTCTTTTAACAATAAATATAAATATACTCCTCTATGGACTAGGACTTAAGATATACATCCGAATAAAGAATCAAAAGGATCTGACATTTTAAAGCTGAAAGATATCTCTACCTAGCTAGCAGCATGACAACAGCCAGATTACTTCGAGTTTCCCAAAGTAAAATGCAGGACAAAATGTTGGACTAAATTAAAGGCAACTTTAAAAAGTTCCATATAACTTAGACACTCTCATCAAATCCTTAAAGAATAGAATAAAATAAAACAATCCTTACCCTCGCTCAGCATTTACTACTATGGCCCTTGGTTTGTCATGATCTCCTCGCAGTACAACTCCAATCTGCTCTCCATTAAGTCTGTGAACATTGATTGTATTTGTTGCCTCACAAGTCCAGTACAAAGTATGACTGAAAATATCAATGCTCAGATCATGTGGCTGCTTTTCTGGATTCTGGCTTTGGTTAGGGGTACCCATGATTGTGAAAGGCTACAAGGAGAAGATGGGGGTGGAGAGACACAGTAAAATATTAACAACAACAACAAAAATAAACCATGGGAGATGGATGATCATCAACATAACAGAATATCAAACAAAGAAATTTAGCAGCATAATACTCTGCATGACTACACTTAAGTTAAATTCCACTGGCTGAAATCCATCATAAACTGGAGTAGGCCTACTGAATTAATGGGGATTTTGGTGAGTCAATATCGGTGTAAGTTCTACTGATTCAATGGGCTTATTCCAGTTGCAACTTACTATTGAATTTCAGCCAATGAGTCCAACTGGACTTATTCTTAGTCAAGAGCACAAAATTACAGCCTGAGTTGTCAGTTAAAAAACAGTTCTTCATCCATATGGTGGACCAGGCAATGTCTCAGGTGATGCACTGTCTAAGTAACCAACTGATAACTGTAAATTTTAACAACTGATATACCTTAGAACTGCAGAGCTGGAAGAAACTCCATGAATCACCAAGCCCAGCTCCTGTCTAGGTTTATGTTGTTTAGGTCAGATGTTTGTTTAAAAAATTTATTAAAAAACAAAACACAGCCCCTGTCAAGGAGGCACAGCGAGGATTCAAACTCCCAACTGCTGTCTCCACAGCCAGATACATAAACCACTGAGCTATCCAGCATGAGCATGAGCAACTAATTTATACACAGAAAAATGCAATGAACATATTAGAAATATACTTTTATTCACCTGTTAGTTCATTTTATTCGGTTCAAGTATGGTTTGAAAATATTTCATGCAAAAGCCAAACTATTTTCTAATTACATCATAAGATTTAGATAAAAACCTCTCTCTTTATCATGTTAGGAAAAGGCAATAACATGATATTTGGTGATAATACCGATGTTCAAAAAAACACTAATTAACAGAATTAATTGGAATATGAGGTAGCAAAATCACCAACCAATTAAAACAACAACTCTAGATAACTAAAATGCCCCAAGGAGGCACTTCTTCAAACACTGAAGCTCTCTGGCCCGTGCTATGCAAGGAGCCAGTGTCAAACAAGTATTCTTCCAAATCAATTTGCACCTAGCGAGGGCCACTAATAGGAAGTCATTTGGCAATTAACGCCTGGCAGGCATCGTCAAAGAGTAAGCCTGACACTACAAGGCCTTGTTTTTTTTCTAAATGCTGTACTTGTTTATAAAACATGGAATTGCAGGAATATGCTTCTGAGTCTATTAAAGAGAGAGAAAGCACAATGGAAATATTTGTCATCCCCCACAAAAGAGGCTGATTGCAGTATCATTCATTCCACTGCAAAGTATGGAAAAAGGTACAAGGAACAGCCATACTGGCAGGTCAAATAGCTGCTGGTTTGCCAATGCAAGCTTAATGAAGAGTCCTTATAGCTAGAGTTGTAACAGGATTGTGTACTGTCCTCTCCGAGTTATTTCTTATAAAAAATTTTTTTCCTGCAACCAACCACTATGTTTAAAAACTAATGTACTGTCCTCTCTGAGTTATTTCTTACAATTTTTTTTTTACTGCAACCAACCACTATGTTTAAAAACTAATTCACTGCATTGCTTGTAACTGCTTGTTACTTCTTTATTACTTAAAAACAATGCTTCATACGAGCACAGATGGCCAAACAGGCTGTCCTTCACTCAGACCATTGGCCAGCAGTGGGTATAAGAATTGCATAAAACCTGAAGAATTCCACGCAAAATGCTTTAAAATGACCTTAAAATGTAACTATGAAAAGTATCCAGAAAGTGACACAACACTTCATCTTGTTTTCCTTGTTTCTTTTTTGTTTCTCTGATAACTTATTAACATATTACAAAAAAAACTTGTTACAGGTGAGCATGCTGTTTGTGACACGTTACTCCCAAGTTCTGCCCCTCCCTAAAAGAATCCCCCTCAACTCCCCTCTCTGATGTAATCATGTTTTAAAATCTTACAGCAGTATGGATGCTATCTTATAATTGAAAGCTAACAAGGTTTCCTTTCTCTGGGAGGATACAAAACCATGCAATACAGAAGTGATACTTCTGCAGGGTGGAAAGACAGGGCGCTTCTGTATCATAAGTCATCGGCACCAGCTATGTTCCCTAGTATTTTGTACGCTTTCACTCACTGTACCAATTCAGAAAAGGTGTGAAAGGTTTTCTTTTTTTAATGTTAAAAACATCAAAAAGCTTTTCCCCTCCCCCTTCTACTTGCCTCATATCGGATGACACTTTAGCAAGCCCCAATTTGTGTAACATAAACTTAAGCAGAAAGCAGGCACGGGCAGTTAATCTTAAGGCTACAGCCACACATTCAGAGTATGGAAAAATGCAAGCAAGAAAATTAAAAGACATGGGCATCCCTGTCTCTTTGCATGTAAGGAGATTGAGATAAGAAGCTCCTTTTCAGAGTTTGCAACAATCTGAAGTTTCCCATTTCATCCAAATATAGGAAACTGTTCTGGTTTCTATATTCCCCTATTTGGACAAAATGAGAGAGTGAATTTTGTTGCAAGCTGCAAATGGAAACTTCTTATTTCATTTCTTCTTGTTGTACATTAAAGGGAGAAAGTCCACATGTTTAAAGCATTTTCTTGAGTCCCAATCTGGCATTAAGGCTGACACTATGAATGATGAAGTTCTAAATGGTGTACATATTAAAATGCAGACTGATTAAGTCAGTGTTGCTTCTTCTAATATCAGACTCGATGTTGGTGCCTCGCAAGTTTAGAAAGAAAACAGGGCTAGCAAAATGAAAGGGTCTATAAGAAAAATACAAATTAAAAAAAAGCAAAGAAGTCTGATGAAACTTTAGGAAACAAGACATACAGAAGATTACTAGAGAGAGGATGGCATGAATAAGAGAAGGAGAGGCTATCAATCAATCTATAGCTGATTGCTATGTAGTCACAGAGTGTTTAGATTTTAGCTGAAATGAGAAACAAGAATGAAGATGGAGGCACTCTGTGAGAAGAACTGGCTAGCTGTCAGCTTACAACAAGCATATGAGTTTGGGCACAGTAAAAAAAAAAGGTTGATGGGTGGATTACCACAAAGTTTAAAAACTTTTTATCAGCCTGAACTATAAACAAATGTTCTGGGAAGAAAGAACTGTGGGAAAAGTCACCTTTTCCAATTCTCCCTCTCAATAAATGTGTGCTATCCTACTATAAAATTCTCCTCTGGAGCTAGCAGCCTCGGTCACAGGAAGAGAAGGCTTCGACAGCCAGGGTGAGGGTGGGAGGAGAGAAAAGTTCTGCTGGATCCTTTCTCCATATCTCAAACTCCCACCCACTCAACCCAAGAGGCTTGCACAGCACTCTGAGGTTCCTTCTCCTGGTCTGTTAGAATGCAGAAACAGAAACATACCTCTTAAGAATATAGATAATCCTACAACATGTTGTAGGTCCAATCTGTATAACATACTTTTAACAAAACAAAATATCAGCAACGTATGTAGGTTTGATAGACACCTACATACATTATGATTTAAAAAAAAAAGACTTACCTGGGTGCCATCATCTTTAGCTCTTTTTATAATATTTTGCCGTCCATCTACCCAATAGATTAGTTTATCCAAGGGATCATAATCAATAGCCTTCACATTTCTTAGACCATGAACAGGAAGGATGATATCTGGACTCTGCTGATCATCTGGTATCATCCGGCTTATTGCAGACTTCTGACTAAACAGCAAGAAGCTGCTCGGTGCTAAAAGAATACAGAGACCCAAAACATCACCATAGTTAAGAATATTGCTAAAATATTTTTTTTTCAAAGCAATCCTAAACATGTCTACACAAAAATCCTGTATATTTCAAAGATAATTTCCCCAGGAAGGCAGGTGCATGACTGCAGACTTGTGGAAGGTGAAGAGAAAAATAGAAGGGCCAAGAATGCCTCTCCCTCTCTCTCTCTCTCTCTCTCTCAGAAGGGCCAAGAATGCAGCCCTCTCTCTCTCTCTCTCTCACTCACTCACTCACTCACACACAGAGGCAAAATGTTTCAGAAAATAAAGACTTAAACACAGTTACTGGTAAGGAACCCTAGAATCCAGGTATTATAAACCCGAAGAGATCACAAGGGACACCTTGTCCAACCTTCTGTTGATGCCAGAGGGAAAGAAAAGGAAAACAACAGCTGCTTCTCCTTCTCATTTTTCTTTCTACCATCAACTGCTCTGCTATGGACAGAGGCAAGGAGGAGGAAGAGAAGCTGCAGAGCTGAAAAAAGGTGGAGAAACTTCACTAGGTTGTAGGCCTCAACAGATGCTGAATGAGGCTAAGCACTGACAACAGCTCTGCATATATTGCTATATTAACCAACCAAGAAATTTTCCAAAAAAAGAGAGTATTCCCTAGGTTTACCACAATGTCTTAGGTTGCAAACTTTTCTGCGCTGAAAAATTAAAAAATATTCCCATTCTATAGGCAAATCTTTAACAAAAGAAATATTAAAATCTGCCACCATTACATTGGTCAGAGAATCCCTAAAACCTTAAGATTAAGGTTTAAATTCTGACCCCCTTTGAATGAATTGCTTAGCTTGTATAAGCCACCCTTGTCTCCAAATGCTGGAGCTGAAGTTATTACAAAGTACAATGTCAGGTTTCTGGAAATCTCCGAAATGCATAACAGCTGTGATTAAGTCGTAAGACATTACAGTCTGGTTAGCAAAGCTATGTTACAGTAAAATTAGTTCTCTATGTCTAAACAATATCAGCCACAAGCCTAAAACCTCCAACAGTTTTCTTTAGAATAATAATAATAAAAAAACACCACTATGCTACACATAGAAACTAACAAAAATACAGAGAGTTTCTAACTCATGGATGGAGAATGTGTGGCCTTCCAGCTGCTCTTGGACTGAAACACTCATCACCCCGCACTACTCAGTGGAAGTTACAGTCCAAAACAATTGGAGAGCAATTGTAATGCAATTTCATTTCTGTATATGGAAATGTGTGCCTCAAGAGTTTAGATCATGTTCCTCTTCACGTGTGTTCTGGCAGCATTGGGAGATTATTTTTTAAAAGCATTTCATTTTGTTCCTCTTTAAGTGTTGGCTTTGAGTTTCTGGGTCCTATTTTTAAATGGTGCCTGTAGTCCTGAATTCTACTGGTATATATTTACTTGTTTAGTGATGGCATTATTGTTTCATTTTTGTGTTGCTTTTTACACTTCCGTGGCTGTTGTGCATGTCAAATTTTGAAGAGGAAAAGCTGGATGTAAATTTTTGTAAAAATGAAACAACCATTTTGAATTTGAAGAGGAGAGGAAATAGTGTGCAAAGGGGAAAAAAAGGAACTTTACTTACTAGGCTATCCTGGCCAGACACTCATTGTGTGAGCAGGCAAAAAAGGACTTAGACCTATCTGATTGCCTGCAGGGTTCTGAGGAATATAGAAAAGGAAATTCTGGGAAACTATCACTATAAACCCTCCAGAATCTTACAGCCAACATAACCAATGACTGTGCTGGCTGTGAATTATAGTTTGAGAAAGTAACTTGTCCAAGCTCCTGATGATCTCTGGTGCTGGAAAAGGCCTCACCAACTCTTTTGCAGCAGAAACAGCACACACACACACACACACACACACACACACACACACCGGTTTCCTACTCTCCTATTCTGCTGCTCTCCATGAATAGGGCCTTTGGAGGAGGGAACTGGAACAAAAACAGTAGGAGTGCAGATTCCCAGGATAGTTTGCTCTCCAACTACCTGGTTGCTTGGTATCTGCTGGGAAGTGGTTCTTGATCACTTCCAGAGTCCTACTCCACCCCCATCACTCTACAGAAGAGATCTCCTAGGAATTAAAATGCATATTATAATCAATGAATTGTTAAAAAAAAAAAAGATAACAACGTACAACTGCAGTTCCGGCTGATGGGATCCAAGGTGTAATGAGATGCACAGCCACATATATAACTATTTGGTATGGCCAGGCACAACTGTCCACAGTGCCCATTGTTTTGCACACATTCATTAAAGCCATCCTGTCGTGATGAATGGAAAACCAATATATCCATCACAAAATCGAGACGTCCCTGAATTAGTGTTCGGTTCCTTCCATTTGTCTTGTCGGCTCGTTCAATACTGTGAAGATTCCAATCTGTCCAGTAGATGAAGTCACTGTACTGAGTTAGCCCAAAGGGATGAGGTAGATCGTCTGCGATTATCTCCCTCTCTTGCCCTGAAAAACATGGCACACATCATGAATGCACATGGTAACACGAACCTGAGAGCTTCCAATTATTTTAAAAAAAGTTAATTGCAGAGAATAAACTACATTTGTGTGTCTTTCGAATATATTAGGTCTAATGGAATGACAAGATGATACCAAATTGTTTCTAGTAATTTTAGCCACCCTTGATATGGGTCACCTATTCAGTTCTCCTCTGCACTATACATTTCTTTTTAGGAAATTTAACACAGTATCACATGGACTGCACATTTCAAAATAACAGTTTTAGATTAGGCTGGAAACCCACTGCAAGGACTGATCAAACTCAGAAAAATACAGGATTTTTCTTTGAGTATCACTGATAAATGCCTCAAAAAAGAGGAACAAATCATAAAAGAACACTAAAGGTTCTCTCTCCACCATACCACAATTTATTTGTTGCTGCAAATATTGTTGGGCCATGTTTGACGCCACTTCAGCTGTCCATTCTAAAGATCAATGAATATCTGCAGTTCAGTGAGGTACTTAGATTTCTTTGACAGTATGGGTGTACTTTTTCATGTTTTGAGATTCCAATACCCAGAATTCTCCCAATAATTTCCAGGCAGAAATCTGGGAGTTGGAGCCCACAAACACAAAATCCACAGATTTCTAGATTTTGCCACCCCCCCCCCCCCCCACCCTGAGAGAAAGGTTTTTGGTTTGTTCATCTACAGTGCCGTTGTGCTTCTGGACTTTGTCTTCTATTGCTAGCTGTTGTTTTTTTTTAAACTGTTCCAGTTGCTTCCTGGGAGAAGCTGTTCTTTGGGAGATGCCCTCTATAGGGTCTACTGAACAGAGAGACTATGACACCCAGACTCCTCTGCACCCAAAAGACCGGGCCCTGCTAGTCAGTCACATGATGATGGAGGTGGTTGACTCACACAAGCAAGTCCAACTGGAATTCAGTGTGTTTGCTGGTCATTATCTATTAATTCTAATACAATGGCTCTCAGCTTTTAGTACCTTTTATCCAACCAATCAGTCTTTTAAAGAACCTACATCCTACCATGTGAGACAATATAATTCCTTTTTTCCTTCAGGAAAACATTTATAAGTTTCACAAGCATTTTCTTATTATTTCTACCATTAACATTTGGAAAGAAGATGACAGGGTGTGTGGAGAAACACTGTGTGCCCACAGCTACTAATGGAATGTCCAAAGATCACAGATGGACCACAGTTCGTAGTAGACAGCATACCACACTGCAGTAGAACTTGGGGACTAGGAGAAGAAATTCTTAGTAACTTTGTCCCATATGGACTGCTTGCATGTCCCATAGGCTGTACACGTATCACTGCATGAAAACCATTAGTCTAATATACACAGTCTATAGAAAAATGACAGCCAAATGCTGGAATTCCTGGAATTCCCAGATCAAGATTATTCTGTCATTTAATTGCATCAGACTCATTGCACATCACATCTGAGACGTTCCAAAGACATGCTACCTAGCATATTGGATGACTCAATCATGCTTGTGTCCAGGTCAGTCCAATAGAGTCTTTGATCTTCGTAATCAATAGTAAGATCATTTGCACGTCCCACTTTATCCACGAGGGTGATGCTGTTAGTTCCATCCATGTATGCCCGAACTATCTTTGGTTTGCCTCCCCACTCAGTCCAGTACATATACCTGCAGTTAAAAATGAAAAAAGATTTTAAAAATGAACAATTATTTACTGCTGAAGCTAAATCTAGCCTGTGTCCTTCACGTTTTTAACATGATCCCAGCACATAAATCGATGACAGCAAATGATAATATTAGTGATACAGTGGTGCCTCGCATAGCGAGGTTAATCCGTTCCGGATTAACCTTCGCTATAGCAAAACATCGCTAAACGGAATTTAAAAAGGCATAGAAACGCATTGAACTTCGTTCAATGCGTTCCTATGGCTTGAAAACTCACCGTTAAGCGAGGTTCTGCCATAGTGCCGCCATTTTCGCGCCCTCGGTAAGCGAGGGCAGGGCGCGAAAATGCGGCGCGGACCTTCTGGCGGCCATTTTGGAACCGCCGATCAGCTGTTCTCCCCCGCTTCGTTATGCGATATTCGCTAAGCGAATCGCTTAGCGAATATCGCAAAACGAAAAATCGCCATAGGGGCCATCGCTGAGCGAATGCTCCAGCGATGGCCCAGAGTGCCTCGTTAAGCGATTTCATCGCTCAGCGAGGCGCTCATTAAGCGAGGCACCACTGTATTTTATAATGGTGGTTTTGTAATATTGGTATCATAATAACCACATTTAGGTCCTTAATAATAACAATCCATTTTTCTCCTTTACTCTGTTGATTATTTAGACAAAAGCATTTTATTCTTCAGTTACTATTTTAAAACTCTATGAGTTTAGGGTGGAGAAAAGTTCATTCAGCATAATTGTTAGTCACCATATTTATCCCACATCCATCTGATAGGACTAGCACAGCCACAAGGCTGCTTGTTACCCATCCCTGCTTTAGAACTTCAGATACATTCCAGTCTTTTTGATACTAACATTTCAGGATCAATATAAACATGATAGCCAGATCTACATAACATACACATGTATATATAACTGACAATCTATTATCTTAAGGATCATATTTTCTCACGTGAATTTGCCCGTGTATTAAGATCTTTCTCATAGGCCTTCCTGGGTACCCCTGCCACCAAATGCAAAGTGATGAGCTGAGCAAGTATAGCATTAAGAGAGTGAGAGAGGAAGAGGTTACTGTCAGTAGAGGGAGTCAGGTTTGGAATTCCCTCTTAATATTTTCTTAACACCCTGCTTGACATCCTTTTAATACCATGTGAAAAGTGAGTTCAAATTTCCTAGGTCTTTTAGATTTCGCTTTTATGTCTTCTTGTGCCACTATTTCATGTTGTGCTATACGTTCGTAATTTTGCTGTTTCATTGTCTGTATTATTTATGTGATTTTTAATCTTTACTCTAAGACAGTGGTCCCCAACCTTGGGCCTCCAGATGCTCTTGGACTACAACTCCCAGAAGCCTTCACCACCACCTCTGCTGGCCAGGATTTCTGGGAGTTGAAGTCCAAGAACATCTGGAGGCCCAAGGTTGGGGACCACTGCTCTAAGACACTATGAGAATTCCTTTTGGATCAAAGAGATTAAAATACAGAAATCTATAAATAAATATTACTATATTCTCATTGTATCTAGGAGTGCCAGAGTATGAAAACTTCATCCATATTCAGTAACAGCAAAAAGTAGAATGAAACCCAGGATGAACCAAGTTTTACATAACATGAAAGCTTATTAAATAAAATAGAAAACAGAAAACAAATGGATAGATACTATGAAGGCTATAAATATATTTAGAAGCATTTCACTCATCCACACCTGGATTTTCTATCTAAACATTCAAATAAACATTCAAATTCAAAAGCTCATCCTAAACATTTAAGATATACGGCAGTATAATGTTTATAAATCACTTTCATGTTCCCTGATTAGATTAGGAAGTTGTATAGCTTAACTAAATAAGGAATGTAAAAAAATTAAAATTATGCATCCAGCAAGCTGTGCAGACTTATTGCCAAAAAGGACACTTGGCTTGATTTCGTTCCAGAAAAGCTGAAATAGAAGCTTACATATTTTGACTGGGAAAGAATCAAGGTAGTTAGACAGTGCAGCTTTGGACAGAGTCCTCCTATAATGCCAAAAACAAACAAACAAACAAACAAACAAAAACCTGGTATCAATACTCAGTGGGTAGTGAGGGAAGAAACTCCATATTTGGATCCCGTGTCTAAACCAGCATGGAACTGTGACTGGGGGAAATTCAAGACTGGTTACTACCCAATTTCCCCCAAAATAAGACCTAACCTGAAAACAAGCCCTAGTACGATTTTTCAGGATGCTCGCAATATAAGCCCTACCACAGTCAAACCTACAGTTCAATGCATTCCAATGGGGGAGAAAAAAATTCACCAAAAATTAACGAAGACTCAGAACAAAGCCAAATTAAGTTTGCACAGGTTTTGCAAGGTGCACTAACGACCCCAAGCATTTAAAACCGTTTTTGAACATTGTAAGACACTTTAAAAATAGTGAAAACGGACATTGTTAAGTGAAACAGGGGGACCTAAACTGTCATCACTAAGCGAGGCAAGGTCCCGAACATTGCTATGCGAAATTTCCCCATAGGAAACATAGCTAAACAGAGCGCAAATTCACTCAAAAAAAACCCATCGCTAAGCGAATACATTGTTAAATGAAGCAATTGCTAAGCGAGGCACCACTGTATATACAATTCAGAACCAGATTACCAGGTTAAAGAACATCTCTTAAGAACAACCTCAACCTACTATCTTGACCACCGTTAAGTATAAAGGAATGCCCTGTTACCTCTGCCACAGACTGCAAGTTTCTGCTTGGTGGTGACACAAAGGTAAGCTTTGTCTTTGGTGGAACGTATCCTATGGGTCACCCCCTATGGTACATCATATGCAAACATCAGCATGTTTTAAGGGTTTCTTTCTATTATCTTAAGGATCATATTTTCTCACGTGAATCTGCCCGTGTATTAAGATCTTTCTCATAGGCCTTCCTGGGTACCCCTGCCACCAAATGCAAAGTGATGAGCTGAGCAAGTATAGCATTAAGAGAGTGAGAGAGGAAGAGGTTACTGTCAGTAGAGGGAGTCAGGTTTGGAATTCCCTCTTAATATTTTCTTAACACCCTGCTTGACATCCTTTTAATACCATGTGAAAAGTGAGTTCAAATTTCCTAGGTCTTTTAGATTTCGCTTTTATGTCTTCTTGTGCCACTATTTCATGTTGTGCTATACGTTCGTAATTTTGCTGTTTCATTGTCTGTATTATTTATGTGATTTTTAATCTTTACTCTAAGACAGTGGTCCCCAACCTTGGGCCTCCAGATGCTCTTGGACTACAACTCCCAGAAGCCTTCACCACCACCTCTGCTGGCCAGGATTTCTGGGAGTTGAAGTCCAAGAACATCTGGAGGCCCAAGGTTGGGGACCACTGCTCTAAGACACTATGAGAATTCCTTTTGGATCAAAGAGATTAAAATACAGAAATCTATAAATAAATATTACTATATTCTCATTGTATCTAGGAGTGCCAGAGTATGAAAACTTCATCCATATTCAGTAACAGCAAAAAGTAGAATGAAACCCAGGATGAACCAAGTTTTACATAACATGAAAGCTTATTAAATAAAATAGAAAACAGAAAACAAATGGATAGATACTATGAAGGCTATAAATATATTTAGAAGCATTTCACTCACCCACACCTGGATTTTCTATCTAAACATTCAAATAAACATTCAAATTCAAAAGCTCATCCTAAACATTTAAGATATATGGCAGTATAATGTTTATAAATCACTTTCATGTTCCCTGATTAGATTAGGAAGTTGTATAGCTTAACTAAATAAGGAATGTAAAAAAATTAAAATTATGCATCCAGCAAGCTGTGCAGACTTATTGCCAAAAAGGACACTTGGCTTGATTTCGTTCCAGAAAAGCTGAAATAGAAGCTTACATATTTTGACTGGGAAAGAATCAAGGTAGTTAGACAGTGCAGCTTTGGACAGAGTCCTCCTATAATGCCAAAAACAAACAAACAAAAACCTGGTATCAATACTCAGTGGGTAGTGAGGGAAGAAACTCCATATTTGGATCCCGTGTCTAAACCAGCATGGAACTGTGACTGGGGGAAATTCAAGACTGGTTACTACCCAATTTCCCCCAAAATAAGACCTAACCTGAAAACAAGCCCTAGTACGATTTTTCAGGATGCTCGCAATATAAGCCCTACCACAGTCAAACCTACAGTTCAATGCATTCCAATGGGGGAGAAAAAAATTCACCAAAAATTAACGAAGACTCAGAACAAAGCCAAATTAAGTTTGCACAGGTTTTGCAAGGTGCACTAACGACCCCAAGCATTTAAAACGGTTTTTGAACATTGTAAGACACTTTAAAAATAGTGAAAACGGACATTGTTAAGTGAAACAGGGGGACCTAAACTGTCATCACTAAGCGAGGCAAGGTCCCGAACATTGCTATGCGAAATTTCCCCATAGGAAACATAGCTAAACAGAGCGCAAATTCACTCAAAAAAAACCCATCGCTAAGCGAATACATTGTTAAATGAGGCAATTGCTAAGCGAGGCACCACTGTATATACAATTCAGAACCAGATTACCAGGTTAAAGAACATCTCTTAAGAACAACCTCAACCTACTATCTTGACCACCGTTAAGTATAAAGGAATGCCCTGTTACCTCTGCCACAGACTGCAAGTTTCTGCTTGGTGGTGACACAAAGGTAAGCTTTGTCTTTGGAGGAACGTATCCTATGGGTCACCCCCTATGGTACATCATATGCAAACATCAGCATGTTTTAAGGGTTTCTTTGAAATACCTTTTAATTTCAGCTTCCACTACTCATTAGCTGCTTTGAACTCCCTAATATTATATTAACATGTTTCGTTGGATTAGTTTATTATTTTATAAAGTTAGCACAAGCTGCTACAGAATCTATTTCCAGTATTTAGTACAATTTCTATGCTAAACCCACTCCTTGTGACTGATACCATGAAACTCTGCTGAACAATTTCTCCTTACCCTTTAGATGGGTCGAGGGCTAGAGATCTTGGGTTGTCCAGATCTTTCCACACAAGGACTTGACGGTATAGCCCATCCAGGCGTGCCACTTCGATTCTATTGGTGCCAGTATCTGCCCAATAAAGATTCTTTCCCATCCAGTCTACAGCCATTCCTTCCGGATAATCCAATCCAAACTCAATCACATGCTCAACTGCACTTCCGTTCATGAAAGCCCTGCTGATCGTCTATGAAACAGGGTTTTTGAAATACCATATAAGTACTATGACATTAAGTAATAATTTTTGGTCATTATGCCCTATTCAGGAGGAAATTACAGTACTACTAAACACAAAGCACACAATTTCAAACAGACATTGTCATTATTGTACCATATGTCAGGCAGCACTCATGTTCATCTGCATATTCTTGTAGGATAATTTACAAAATACTTATGGGCGTTAATTTCAGTGTATACATGAATTAAAAGTATTGTGTTCATCTAAGAGCATGTGTATACAAGAGGGAGATAGAGAAAAAGAGGGGTGCACTTGTGTTTTATTTTATACAATTTTAAATGCAACTCATTTATTTCTATACCACTGCTACACAAGCAGTGTAATGAAACTAAGTACTGTATGTACAATAGGCTGGGGAAACAATGTGCTCAGTTAAAGTCTCTTGAATACCTTTAGACTAATATCTGTCCAGTAAATCCTGTTATCAGACACATCAAAATCTAGTGCCGAAGCTTCTTTGACACCAGTAAGCGGGATAGCTACGTCATTATTATTTGTTTCCAGAGAAATCCTATGAATGGCTGCTCGGCTGGTAAAGACAAGAAAAGCTTCTGGAATGATACAGGTCTTCATATCACTAAGTAACTCCAATCCAATGGGACAGGCACATCGGCACTCCTGAGGTGTGAAGAAGCACAAGTGGCTGCAGCCTCCATTGTTCTCAGCACACGGATTTGAACCTGGGGAGGAAAAAGTTACTTGAAGTGAGAGGAAAATGTGACTAGAATGAAGCTAGATGTACCATAGTTATAAGTAGTGCAGGCAAGGGTTGGGAGAACCTAAATGCCTAAATAGGCTGAAAAATAGATTGTATCCTATTTCATTAAATTGTATTCTAGTCTAATCGATGAAAACTAACTACAGCATTTCCCCCATGGATTTATTTCACTCCTGTTTAAAAGTGGAAGACCTCAGTTCAAATATTCAGGTAACAGTGAATTTGCTAGGTAGCCTTAAGCAATCCACTAATAACCAGCTCCAGCCTCTTACTTGCAGTACTGGGGATAGTATTCAGCCACCTCACAGAACAGCCATATATAGACAATGGACACCAAGCACTTTTGAATATTAAGAATAGAAATATTGGTTATTACAATTGAAGAGGGCCAGCATGGTGCAGTGGACAGTGACAGACTAGGATTCGGAAAACATGGGTTCACATCGATCAAGGAAACTCGGTGGGGTATGTGTAGCACCAGGAAAACCATCCTTTAAATATCTCACATACTTTGAAAACCCGATTAGGTTGCTGTAAGTCAGATGTAATTGACAGCACATAATACACAAAATACTACAACTTGAAGTTCACCCTGAAAGCTGATGACCTATGGTTAAAATACAGCCAACAGTATTAAAAGAGGCTAGTAATATTTTTATTTTACTCTATGTTCAACCATTTGCTGTTTCTAGCATAGCAGGCGAACCACTTCAGATGGCAAATGTGCTCTAGCTTCTAACACTTTAATTTCCAATCTTCACTAGCCTGATAAAGTAATTCTTCACATAGCTTCCCTATCACACCACTGTATATCTCTGTACCAAAATTATTAGTGTGGGTTAGATGTTGAAAAAATAGTCCACAGTTTGAAGTACCAAAGTTTTTTAGATCAACAACAGGATCCCAAAACTTGGAGACTTGTGTGACAGGTTTTTAAACTTAATTGGTGTGACCCTTCCTACATCCAATTAAAAGGCGAAAGATTTATACGATCTGAAGAGAAACCAGAGTACATCCAGCAAACATACAGGTCAGCAAATTATGGCTAGCAATTGCACAGCAGAGACAGAATGTCTGGATCTTGAAAAAAAAAATCCCAACTGCAGGTTTTGTTTAAAAATCCCTGAAGGAAGCATCAAGAAGTGAGGGAGAGGCTAGTGGGAAATGTTGATATATGAAAAGATGCTTCTATTGAATTCAATGAAAACCTCTTGTCTTATATGAGCTGTTTTATATTTAAGAAGAGTATGTTCACATAGGCACGGTGGTTAAACAGCAATACTGTAGTCCAGTCTCTGCTCATGACCTGAACTTGATCCCAACTGATTCAGGTAGCTGGCTCAAGGTTGACTCAGCCTTCCATTCTTCTGAGGTTGGTAAAATGAGTACCCAGCTTGCTGGGTAGCAATGTTGTTGACTGCATAATTATGTTGTAAACCATGCAGAGCGTGTTTTAGCACTGGAGGAAGAATATAAATCAAAACAACTTAATGCTGCAGTTTGTGAACCAAGGTTCTGGGTCCTTTCCCTCTAAGATGCCTACAATTTTGAGAAAAGCTTCTTCTTGTTGTTGTTGTTTAGTCATTAAGTCTTGTCCAACTCTTCATGACCCTATGGACTAGAGCAGTGGTTCTAAACCTTGGGTTACTCAGGTGTTTTTGAACTGCAGCTCCCAGAAACCACAGCCAGCACAGCTGGTGATGAAGGCTTCTGGGAGTTGCAGTCCAAAAACACCTGAGTAACCCAAGGTTAAGAACCACTGGACTAGAGCATGCCAAAGCCCTCCTGTCTTCCACTGCCTCTCGGAGTTTGATCAAATTCATGTTGGTAGCTTTTATGAGATTGTCCAGCCATCTCATCCTCTGTCATCCCCTTCTCCTCTTGCCTTCACACTTTCCCAACATCAGGGTCTTTTCCAAGGAGTCTTCTCTTCTCATGAGATGGCCAAAGGATTGGAGCTTCAGCTTCAGGATCTGTCCTTCCAGTGAGCACTCAGGGTTGATTTCCTTCAGAACGGATAGGATTGATCTCCTTGCAGTCCAGGGGACTCTCAAGAGCCTCCTCCAGCACCACAATTCAAAAGCATCAATTCTTCGGCGGTCAGCTTTCTTTATGGTCCAGCTCTCAGTTCCGTACATCACTACAGGGAAAACCATAGCTTTGACTATGCGGACCTTTGTTGGCAAGGTGGTGTCTCTGCTTTTTAAAATGCTGTCTAGATTTGTCATCGCTTTCCTCCCAAGAAGCAGGCGTCTTTTAATTTTGTGGCTGCTGTCACCATCTGCAGTGATCATGGAGCCCAAGAAAGTGAAGTCTGTCACTGCCTCCATATCTTCCCCTTCTATTTGCCAGGAGGCGATGGGACCAGTTGCTATGATCTTAGTTTTTTTGATGTTGAGCTTCAGACCGTTTTTTTTGTTGTTTTTTTTTGCACTCTCCTCTTTGACCCTCATTAAGAGGTTCTTCAATTCCTTCTCACTTTCTGCCATCAGAGTGGGATCATCTGCATATCTGAGGTGGCTGATATTTCTTCTGGCAACCTTAATTCCGGCTTAGGATTCCTCCAGTCCAGCCTTTCGCATGATGTATTCTGCATATAAGTGAAATAAGCCGGGGGACAATATACAGCCTTGTCGTACTCCTTTCCCAATTTTGAACTAATCAGTTGTTCCATATCCAGTTCTAACCGTTGCTTCCTGTCCCACATACAGAAGTGCCTCAATTTACGAACGTCACAACTTACGACCATTTCAAGTTACGAACAGCTCCAGACGCAAAATTTTGCTTCAACTTGCAGATGGAGCTTCAAGTTATGATAAAAAAAGGCAGGGGAAAAAGGCAGAAAATTCAAATTGCTAACCATTGGTAGGCGAAGAGACTGCTTCTTTATAGCTCTTTCACCCCAAAGATTAGAGTGAGTGCAATCAGAGGAGGCTTCGGACTACCTGGTAAGGTAAGTTAAGGTGCTGCCTTCTCCTTTTTAAAAACTGTTCTGGGTGGGTTTTGCAGCGTGGTTTTGGGCTAGGGATTGTGTTTCTGTGCTGTGATGGGTCTTGGGTGTTTGTTTTTTGGTATTTTCCCCCTATTTCCAATGGGTCTTGGGGGGGTAGTTTGTTTGTTTGTATTTCCACCTTCCATATCCAATTGGTCTTGGGGGGTTTGTTTGGTATTTTCCCCCCCATTTCCAATGGTTCTTGGGGGGTTTGTTTGCTTTTTGGGGGTTTCCCCCCATTTCCAATGTGTCTTACATGCTTCACTTGCTTTCTGTTTTGCTTTTTCCCCAATTTCCAATGTGTCTTGCATGCTTCGCTTGCTTTCTGCTTTGCTTTCCCCCCATTTCCGATGTGTCTTGCATGCTTCCCTTGCTTTTCTCCCCCTCCCCCCTTTGGCCGGAACGGTTTAACTGCATTTCCGATCAGTCTTGCAGTGGTTTTTTGTGTGTGTGTGGTGGGTTTTTTGGTGATTTTTTTTCTTTGGCTGGAATAGATTAATTGCATTTCAATGGGAAATGGTGCTTTGGCTTATGACCATTTTGAGTTATGACCATCTTCCGGAACTGATTAGGTTTGTAAGTTGAGGCACCACTGTATAGATTTCTCAGGAGATAGATAAGGTGGTCAGGTACTCCTATTTCTTTAAGGACTTGCCATAGTTTGCTGTGGGCTTATGACCATTTTGAGTTATGACCATCTTCCGGAACTGATTAGGTTTGTAAGTTGAGGCACCACTGTATAGATTTCTCAGGAGATAGATAAGGTGGTCAGGTACTCCTATTTCTTTAAGGACTTGCCACACACAGTCCACAAAAGCTTTTGTGTAGTCAATGGAGCAGAATTAGATGTTTTCCAGCACATATTAACAATTTGGTCTCTAGTTCCTCTTCCCCTTTGAAATCTAGCTTGTACTGCTGAGAGTTCTCGGTCCACATACTGCTGAAGCCTACCTTGTAGGATTTTGAACATAACCTTGCTAGCATGTGAAATGAGTGCAACTGTACACTAGTTGGAGCATTCTTTGGCACTGCCCTTCTTTGGGATTGGGATATAGACTGATCTTTTCCAGTCCTCTGGCCACTGCTGAGTTTTCCAAACTTGCTGGCACATTGAGTGTAGCACCTTAACAGTGTCATCTTTTAAGATTTTAAATCATTCTGCTGGAATGACATCACGTCCACTGTCCTTGTTGTTAGTCATGCTTTCTAAGGCCTACTTGACTTCAGTCTCCAGGATGTATGGCTCAAGGTCAGCAGCCACATTATCTGGGTTGTCTGGGACATCCAAATCTTTCTGGTATAATTCCTTTGTGTATTTTTGCCACCTCTTCTTGATGTGTTCTGTTTCTGTTAGGTCCTTACCATTTTTGTCCTTTCTTCTATGGGATTCTTGCCCACAATAGTAGATATGATAATCGTCTAAATTGAATTTGCTCTTTCCTGTCCATTTTAGTTCACTGATGCCCAGGATGCCAATGTTTATTCTTACCATCTCCTGTTTGAGCACATCCAGCTTACCCAGGTTCATAGATCTTACATTCCAGGTTCCTATGCAGTATTTTTCTTTGTAGCATTGGACTTTCCTTTCACTTCCACTCATGTCCGCAGCTGAGCATCCTTTCAGCTTTGGCCCAACCAATTAATTATCTCTGGAGCTACTTTTTCTTGTCCTCCGCTCTTCCTCAGTAGTACTGTATGTTGGACGCCTTCCAACCTGAGCAGCTCATCTTCCAGCATCATATCTTTTAGCCTTTTGTTTCTGTCCATGGAGTTTTCTTGGAAAGATACTGGAGTGGCTTGCCATTTCCTGCTCCAGGTGGATCGCGTTTAGTCAGAACTCTCCACTATGACCTGTCCGGCACAGCCCATAGCTTCTCTGAATGACTCAAGCCCCTGTGCTATGGCAAGGCAGCAATCTGTGAAAAGCTTCTAGTTATCACAAATGTACTTTACTCACAGAGCCACCATAGTTAGAGAAAGCAAGAATACCAGTGACCTATATAGAAAGGTTCACATAGCACAGGGGTTAAAAGCAGGATTAGCTTTCGTAGAGGAGGTAATGTGATAGAGAAAAAGCAGTGTGAATTGCTTAATACCCCACTTAAGGAGGGAAATAGTGCTTTCACAGATGCACGAATTTGGGAGAAACACGAGTTCAGTTGAGTCAAGTTAGTGGGCAAGCTTTCATCTATGCAATGCCCTTCCTTCTATCTGCAGACATGAAGAATACAAATTATTGCTCTTTTCAGACATCATAATTAAACTGAAAGCCTCTCTAGAGGTAAAATAGGTCAAAAGAGCATAATAGATAGGCAGCTAATAATGTGTCTCTTATGCATTAAGGGCCTCAAAAGGTATTAGAAGTGGGTATATTTGTGGGCTGTTCAATAAATCTCTGAATATCGCACCTGTTTTTTGCTTGCAGGAACACATAATACACAACACATTTTATCTCTTAAAATAATCTAAGGAAAACAGAAATCAGAAAACAACAGCATTATCAAAACCCATCTCAGAAAAATCAGATGAGACTAATACCACCCAAGCATCACCAACTATCCAGACAGACTCGGCCAGGTGCCCTTGGTACCAATGTGTCACCTATCCAAAGAGTATTAGTAGCGAGGATGCAAAGGTGAAGTTTAACAGGTTGTGAGAGAGCCTTCTTCCTCCTGATGCAAGGGAAAACCCCTTGGCAACTAAAAGTAGTGCTCTCTTGCAAACCCACACATTGCTTAGAACATGCACTTGGATGGATGAACAGGCCTGACACTTGTTACCTATCACCCAGTTAACTGTCATTTGGAGGGGTCAGAGTAAAGGCAAATATAAGCTTGTTCATTTTCTTCCAAGTTGGCTGCAGATAGAAATGGCCCAGGGTCTGTGAAAATGCTCCTTCTGACGTTTCAGGTTTACCCTTCTCTGAGACCATAGGATGCCCCTGGCAGATTAGGGGACTATTGAGAAGAACTGGTGCCACCTTGAGATTTCTGAAGACAGAGCTGAATTTTCTACATTACAGATAATGAAGATGCAGGGAGAGTTTTGATTACTCTAAGTCAGGCCAAGTAAGTTTCAGCTGCTATTCAGGAGCTCATTAAACACTAATGATCAGGCATGACCAACGTACATCTTCCAGGTGTTACACAACTGCTACTCCCAACATTATGTCTACCTTAGACAGGACTGGTGAAAGTTGCAGTCTGTTTGACAGGCTGCACTTTGAATGCCCTCCCTGGTTCTAAATACTGGCCACTACCATTATAAGAGATTTCACTAACAGTTGCATTGCAAAAAAATAAGATGGAAAAAAGTATGAATAAACCATACATTGTCTTCACTTACCAACCACTTTAGTGACACTTGCTGCTTTGAGGCCCATCAGGTCTGGCAACTGATCGATGATAATGTCCCTACTTGCCCTTATTTTGTGAACTCTTTCAATGCTTCGCCTCTGCCAGTCTGTCCAATAGATGTAGTCACCAAGCAAAGTGAATCCAAATATGTGTGGCAGTTTATCTTCTATCAGAGTTTTTCTCATGGTTCCATCTAGATTTATTACCTGTAGAAGAAATGGGAAAAAAAACACATCCACTTGCAATAAATCATCAGATCATACCACATTAAAAACCACTTGCTGGATCACACCAAGAACCAGGTAGCCCAGCATTCACCTTCCAACTGCAACCAGTCAAATTCCCTTATAAAGGGTTCTCAGCCATGTAGCATTCAAAGATTGTGCTGTATTTGGACCTGGACCTGCTGTACACTTAGCTAATAAGAGCAGCTAGGACACCAGTGCATTTCACTGACTTATCATTAAACGATTAACTATTCCAAAAGTTGATATCTTAATTTTCTTCTTGGGGAAAAAAAAAACAGTCTAAATATTGACTAAGCAATCAAAAGAGTAAACATAATAATAAAAATTTAAAACAAAACAAATAAAACATAAATATTAGCCAAATACAAGATGGAGGAACACAAGAAGCTGAAATCCTGTTGCTCAGCTCACGCACAAGTTGTGTGCACCTCAAAAACGCCTTTAATCATCAGAGATTGACTTTTAGTCAACTACGACTTGCTACTGATTATGACACAACAGGATTTGAGCCACAAAGTGTGCTTGACTTGGTACTGATTATGACATAATCACTGTTGTGCAAGAGGAGCAGCACAACAGGATTTGAGCCACAAAGTGTGCTCAAAACTATAGCCACAGCCAAAGAGCTGAGAGCACAAAGTGCTGCCTATTCTCTCATCTGCTACACTTATTGCAACAAACACCACTATCTTCTTCTTAGATGTTTATGGTTACAACCGCTGGAACTACTGAACAACTGGAATGTTAATAAACCTGCCATAACATATCAGCAGCTAAGCCAATGGCTACAGAGTTTCTGCTGTCCTGGCCAAAAACAACACGTTTTTTTTTAAAAAAATCAGTCCATGTTTACCTCCAGTCTACTGAGTTCAGAGTATCTTAAAACAAAACAAAACACAAACAAACAAAGTACATTTCTACAAATGTACGTATCTTCCTCTGCTTGATTTTGACTGTTCTTTCAAAATAATTTCTTTATCGATTGCCAATAAGGAATTATCTTACACCATCAGCTGCTGTCAAGACTATACAATATGTATGTGTTGGGCTACTTTGTAAAACTGTACAAAAACAGCAGCAGAGGTGAAGTAGCCGGTGCCACGTTTTCATCAAATACGATATAAAGAATCTGTTAATGATACTCTGAAACCACATGTCACAGTAGAGATATACTAGAACACTTTCAGTATATTAAATCCATATTAAATTTCAATCTCACTGAGACACTTTTTCAAGGTGCACCCAATTAAGACACCACACCAAAATTTTTGAAAATATTATGACACAAAATACAAACCCAAAGGAGAGATGATAAAATGCATGTTCTTTGAGGTGATATGGAAGGTTTATTAACATTCCAGCTGCTCAGATATTTCTATGCTAGGTAGGCTGATGGAAGCTCCAGTTCAACGACTTCAAAAGACACACGCTCTCTACTCCCAACCCTATAGATAATCAATTGACACAGGAATTGTAAAATGTGAATGCATTTTTATTTGGAATCATGGGACTTGAGCCAACCATGTACCAAACAACCTTGTCAGCCTGTTTCTCCAGACAACTAACAATTCCTTCTATGTAAGCAGCCCGACAATTTCATCATGGAATTTGTCCTGTGGTATGTTAGGCACTTGTTGATAAGTAAATACTGGGATCTTAAAAATGTAATATTTTAAATGCAAAATGCAAGGTCAACTGGAAAAACATGTATAAAAATATACGGTTGATGGGAAATGGAGAAACAGAAGCATACTGCTGTGGAAAGACCTCTATTCAGACTCAGGGCAGTTCTACTGTGGTATTGCATCAGGTTCTATCTTGTCCATTAATCTATTCAAGACCTACTAAATTCTACACTGAGCTAGGCAATTTGTGGCCAACTCTCCAGATGTTCTTTGAATGCGACGTCCTCCAGCCCATGACAGAAGAGGTAATGGTAAAAAGTGCAGGACAAGGCAGTCTTAATATCAGAAGCTGCAAAGTGAGGTGACATCAATCTGCTCATGACACCTCTTTCATCCAACCTCATTAGCACTGTGGCCTGACTTCAGCACCAAGATTCTCAGTTTGGAAGAGTTCAGCTGGAAATGGTTCATCTACGTGGTTTCAGAGGTGGTATCTAGCTTCTTCTAGATGGAGTTTGTCGTTCTTCTGAGAGATCAGGCGCACACATTATGAACATGCTAATACAGCTGTACTACCTTTCGCACCATGTGATGCACTTGACACCATAAAGAAAGCCTCATAAGTCAATGAGTTGTACAATAACAATAATCTTTAGCAGCCTAAGTGGCTTCTGTGAAACAAAGAATATCCCATTCTCTATCAAGCACTACAGGGGCATCCCTTGTAATTCTCCTGCCCACACTAGTAACATATTTCTTTGACATAAGTTTATTCTATAACTTAAATTTATATATTGTGTCTCTACAACTATTTATTACCAAATACTGTACATACTCTGCTTTTTGGCCCCTCTCCCGTGCTCACAGCCTTCTAGGCACTCAGTTCAGCTAGCAACGTACTGTATAAACACAAATTAAAAGCTAATTTTTTTAAAAGGCAAAAGCAGGCCAATTTCCTGTTCTGAAAGCAACCAGCCATATATGCGTCTGAGAAGCCTATAGTACCCTGCCTCCTACAACTCCTCCTCAGAAACTATTAAACACAGCAATACCAAAAAAAGCATGAGTAGAAATACTAAATAAAAGCAAGTTTCAAAATTCCCTCACCAAAAGCAGCAGAATAGCAAGTAATCCTAGCAAATCAAATGCCTGCCTACTTTTACAGCATCTTACAGAAGGAGCCACCTCTGAAGATGGTTCATCTACAGTAGGGACATGGTACAACATCATACATTACTGACTGAGACAGGATATACAGAGCACACCATGCCAGTCATATAATAGCTGCCCTAGCTCTCAGTCCACTTCCAGGCGTAATTTTAAATAACAGTCTTAACCTATAAAGCCCTACATCACTTGGGATATGAGCACCTCAAGGGCATCTTGTTCCCACAAGAATTTATCCAGAAGTTAAGTTGGATCTTTAACATCCCTCTACCCTCCAAAGCAGGAGTGGGCAAGGTGTTGCTTCTCAAATGTAGTTGGATAGCAAACCACAACATTTCTTATGTTGGCTCGGTTGATGGGACTGACAGTCCAACAAGATCGAGAGTGGCTCATTTTGCTCTTCTTGAATCTAAAGAAAGATTAATCATGACGAAAAGCAAGACCTTTTTCAGCAGTGTCCTCCATTACATTATTCACTCCAATGAATGGACTGCCTAGCACATGATGTGCCGTCACTGCTGCCTCTAATAGAACCAGTGGGAGTCTCCTGCAGGGTACTGGTTAGTCTAGTTTTTATTATGTAAGGTGTTTTCAACAGTCAGTTGTTGAGATAGCCAGGGAGAGGCACTTGTCCCTAGGCAGCAGTCACTTCAGTACAGTACTGGCCCCAGTTCCCCATCACAGAGGTCAGTGAAGTCTTGGTAATAAACAAATCAAATCCAGAACCTGGAGCCTTTTAAGAAGGATCGGTAAAGGCAAACTGGCTGTAAGCAACGGTGGTCATCTCACTCTTTGGATTGCTTCCTCGTCCTCTCTAGCTGTCACTTGCACCACCAGCAGCTCGGGGTCGGCACCATGGGTCTCATTGTGCATCTTAGGTACCAGGGAGCTACAGGTGCAGGAGTTGGATCTGATGCTGATGTGAGTGCCACCCTTGTTCCCCGGCCTTTGCTTCCTGACACTGGCACACTGGGCTCTGGAGCTGGAGTGGATATGGTCCCTCATCCCGGGCCTCTACTTCTGCACACTGAGCCCCAGGCGTTTTCCTCCTCTGCTGATCCCCAAACCCAAAGAAAGAACCCAGCCTTCCTCCTCACCCTCCTTTAATCCCCCATCATGCCTGCATCTTATGCTCTCAGGTGCTGCTTATCTCCCTCCCTCCCTCTAGACACCTGTGCTTCCCTCCTTCTTGTCTTCTTTGGATCGCAGAAGGGCTGTTCTGCTCAACCTATCTGGCGCCGATAATGTCCTCCTCTTGCATGGACAAGGCAAACTGATAACTGTCCAGGGTTCTGGATATATCTCTCGAAAGTCCCAGTGAGTACAGTCAATGCCCCCAAGTTGGACATTGTGGTCTAGCAGATTTGGCAGGTACCAGACCATTTATCGCTGGCTTACTATTACTTTTATTTAATCTTCAGATTTTTTTTAACTAGAACCCTTTCTGTCTGGTAAAGACTTCTTGTCTGTTTAATTTTGAAATTTATTTGCTCACCCCTATCCCTCAGACTATCCTTTTTGGCTTCAAGTACTACTGAATGCAAATCCTTAAGGACATCTGACTGGATTCAAATTCTTAAGCACAGCCCAGATTAAGCTTAGCCTCAAAATAAAACATGGTGATATTTTCCATTCTTCAGTTATTTTTTGTCTTGAAAAATCACAACAGCTGAACCTAGTGGTGAGGGAACTGTTGAACTGAAGCTGTCTTAGTGCAGCTATTGTCAAAACTTGGAAAATATACTTGTTTAGACTATGATTCCCAGTGCCATGTAAGTCAAGGAGGAGGATGAGGATGAGGAAGAAAAGAGGAAGAGGAAGAGGAAGAAGTTTTCAAGTTCCAGGTATCATTTTCCCCACATATTTCCAAAATAAGAATCAAGTACTTAGGACTGTTTCACAGCGAGATGTTCCCAAAGGAGATGGAAAGGGAACCTGAACTTTTCTATACAGTTGTTAGAAGCTGAATACTTCTTGAATGCAATCTCACTACGGAGGAGCAAGAAAAGAGGAAGAGGAAGAGGAAGAAGTTTTCAAGTTCCAGGTATCATTTTCCCTACATATTTCCAAAATAAGAATCAAGTACTTAGGACTGTTTCACAGCGAGATGTTCCCAAAGGAGATGGAAAGGGAACCTGAACTTTTCTATACAGTTGTTAGAAGCTG